GAGCCCTCCTGTTCCCCGCGACCCATCACCACGCGTCCTCAAAATTTTCCAGCAACGTCCGTCCCCCCTTCCGAACACCCACGGACGCACCATGCCTCTCTACCCCCATCTAATCCTAAAATCCAAATCAACGCCGCCCGAAAATAAAGGATAAGATAAAAGAAAACAAGGGGTCACAGCGGCACGGACGGCTCCGCGGCAGGGCGCCCCCCAAACCGGCCCGACGCAACCGCACCCCGCGGAGGCGCGGCCGCCGGGGCCGGGGGCGGGCCCGGCTGACCACGTGTGCGGCCGTCTGCGCACGCGCCCGCCAAAACAAAAGGGAGGCCCGCCAAGCCCCGCCCCCGCGCCCACGTGACCGCGCCGGGGCCGCCCCCACCCCTCCCTCCGCTGCTCCGCTCCCCTCCCCTCCGCTTCTGCGCCAGGGCTGTTAGGTTCAGCCGTTTAAATTTGGCTGCGCTCCGACCCCTGCCCTAGAGCGCGATCCTGCGCCGGGACCCGGAGCCCGACAGCCCGCAGGATTCGGGGGGCCCAGGGGCTGCCGTTCGGCCGCCCGGCCCGCCAGTCCTCCCGGCGCCGGAGGACTCCGCTCCGCTCCCCCCGCCCCGCGCTGCCGCCGTCCGCGGCACAGGAGACCCACCCCCCTCAGCCCGCCGCTGAGACGCCGGCCACTCGCCTGCTGGGGCGCCCTGGCTCCCCTCCGCCGCCGCACCTTCGGTCCGGCCGTGGTGGGGGCTGCCGAGGTGATCTCTAGCTGCCCGCCCGCCTCCCCCCCCCCGCCCGGGGCGCCGCGGCCTCGTCTGCAGAGCGCGCCCCGCTCCCGCCCCGGCCGCCGCCGCCGCCGCCGCGGTTTAACAGTCCGCCCGCTGCCCGCAGCTCCGGGCGGCTCGGGGATGGAACCCTGCCGCGGCGGCGGGGCGGGGGGCGGGGCCAGCGCCAGCCAATGGCAGCGGGGGAGGGGAAGCGCTATGCAAATGAGCGCGGGTGGCGGGGAAACCCCGGCCGGGGGCGGGGCCTGCGGCCGCGGCTCGGAGCGTTCTGGAAGCGGCTGGAGCGCGACGGTGCGGGGGGGGTGGGGGGCGGCGGCGGCTCCCCGGGGGCGGGTTCCGGGTCGTTCTCGCTTCCTCCTCGCCTCTTCCCTCGCTAGCGGGAAGCACGCGCGCGGGCGCGCACACACACACACACACACACACTCCCCAAAAATCCGGGCGGGCGGGTGACTTCCCGCCCTTGCTCTATTTCTGCACCACCGTGCTAGGAAGCGCGCAGCGAGCGGCAAGTCAGGCTGCAAGGCGCCCGCGCTCGGGCTGCGCCGGCTCCTGCCTCCAGACCCTCCCGCCTGGCGGCTCGAGGGGCAAGTTTTAACAAAGCTCGGTCACAGCTGCCAAATCTGTACTTCTCCGTGCCTCGGGAGGAGGAGGAATTGCATACGTGCTCTGCGCTCCAATCCAGAGTCATAATCCCGTACGACCCCCGAGAGGCCCTGAAACAGGGTGACATATCAGCCTGGGATCCAGCTGGGTCGTTTCACGGCGAGAATCAGGAGCCGTCCGCTCCAGCTTTTTTAAATCTGTCCAGAGCTGGTCGGGAGTTAGCTCCGTTCTGCAGGAGCGCAGAAAAAAAAAAAAAAAAAACGGGGTTTTGTGTGCAGATAGTCGGCCAGGGACACATAAGAACATTTCTGAGGGTCTTGCACCTGGCTCCGCTCACCCCCAAACTACACCCGGGCATTTCCCCGGCCATGCACTTTTTTTTTTTTTTTAATAAACTGAGCACTAAATATAGCTCCTCTTAAATGATGTGCTCTACAGGCTTTCTTAAGCACCTAATTTACACATAAAATGATTTAGGGAATAAAGCGCACTAGAATTTTAGATCCCAAAAGACAAATGCCATTATTTCAACCTTCCTAACTGAATAAGATTGGAGGGGAGAGGCGGGCGGGGGAATCCAAGGAATCGGGAGTTACAACAAAGCATAAGGCATGACACAGATTACTAGAATTAGAAAATAACCGCCTTGTTCCCGGTTTTTCTAGTGGATTGGGACATTACTGCAATAACTTTATGACAGGCTGCATTTGCAGCAGAGAATACTTTCTAAAATTGTTCAGGACAATAATTGCGCCTTCATTTCATATGGGGTAAGGGAAGAGCTTCAGGAAATTGATTTACCTTCATTGGACTAAAAATCGTAAGCGAATGATGTGAAAATAGTTAAATCAACAAATATGTACTCGATATTCACTATATTCAAAAGATTGTCCTTGTCCCTGGGGACAGAAATGCAAAAAAAGTGAGTACGTTAAAATAGGGTTTCTTTTAACAGTCTAAGAAGTCAAATCAGTATTGAGATAGTTCAAAGGAAGATTTTTTTTTTTTATTTAAGCTGGGTATTTCTGAAGGCATCAATCAAATGATAGTATCTTTGAATAGAGGTCATGTTCACGGTATTATTGGGCTCAAAAATTACATGTCAACTAGATTGTGTATATCTTGAGTAACAGGAATTCAGATTTTAGCCTGAAGGAATTGTGGTGCCTGAGGATACGTTTTCTTCTGTGACTTAATTATCACTTAATAAAACAAAGTATTCATATAGTTACCAAATATTTATTGCACACGTTTGGTGATGGGTATTGAAGATACAGCCATAAACAAAGTTCCTGCCCTGGTGGAATATGTAGATGATGGTACAGGCATTGAGCTTTATAATTATGCAAGTCATAACTCAGAGGCATTTTTACATATATTATTGTTCATCAAACAGTCCTAGGAGATAGTTTCCAGTTCTCCAGGTTGATTCTTTTTTCTCATAGTCAGTCCTGCAGTCCACCAAATTTGTAGACCTTAAATAAATATTTTGGTCCATCAAGTCATCATAGAAACATAATTTTCTCATTTCTTTTATATTCAGCTTTTGATACTTTAAAAATAGAAACCTGGGGGATAGGAAATTATTAATAACATACGTTTGGCTTTAAAAATGTAGAAAAGCCCAAAGAAGAAAAGCACAGTCTTTTATATGTATGAGATGACCCTGCACACTTTTTTACCCCCATTTAACCAAATATTGAGCACATTGTTTCTTTACACTGAACATTACCTTAAATATTTTAATATTTATAGCATATGAAAGCTGGTTTTCCAGAAACTGTAGAATATCAAAGCTCCTTAATATGAAATTGATATACTGAATCATTTGTCAAATCATTTTCCGTATTACTTATTCATCAAAAGCCTGAAGAAATGCACATAATCTTTTTGATCAAGGATATATTATTATTAAGAGGGTACATTAAAGGCATTCGGATTTCTAAGAAAAAATTTAATAATGGCCAAGAGACTTACAGAACCAGCAAGAACAAGGAGAAGGGAAGGGCACTGTTCTTGCTGACATAATTATTACCCGTCTAGAAGCACATAAATGTGTCCAGGTAAGCAGTATTACAGTGATTTCATGAGATAAACTTGTCTCCTTAACACCAGTTTTTATTCATTCGCTCTCTTCATTCAAGAAATATGTGTGCAGCACCTAATATACAGCTGACATTATGATAAATGCTAGCGATACAGGAAAAAGATCACATTCTACTCTTAAGCAAGCAGCTCAGCCAAGGAGGAGTTACAAGCACATCCTTTTCTATCTCTCTTCCCTGTTCTGTTTTTCTCCGTGGTGCTTTCCCCATCTAACAACACGAATTTTGATTCTTTTGGTTTTTGTTGTCTTATCTCCCTTGGTAGAATGCAAACTGCACGAGGTCAGGAACTTTTGCTGTTTCATTCACCGCTGTGTCCCCCAAAATGATGACATGAAAGCAGTTGCTTAGGCCTGGGGTGGGGGGAATTTACCAGGATAAGTATAAGGGGTGTTGGAAATCCACTATATCTTGACCATTGTGGAGGTTAAACAAGGGTATCCATTTGTCAAAACTTACCAAAACATATACTTAAAACAGGTATGTGTCATGTATGAGAATTATACTTCAATAAAGTTGATTTTTAAAACAAGGACTCTGGGATATCTGGGTGGCTCAGAGGTTGAGTGTCTGCCTTTGGCTCAAGGGTCCCAGGATCGAGTCCCACATCGGGCTTCCTGCATGGAGCCTGCTTCTCCCTCTGTCGGTGTCTCTGCCTCTCTCTCCATGTGTCTCTCATGAATAAATAAAATCTCAAAAAATAAAATAAAACAAAGACTCTGATGAAAGTTGACTCAGAAAGAAGCATTGAGTGCAAAATGTAGACAGAAAAATTAAAAATCAGTCTTAGTGAGGATGCAGATAATCCATATGATATGTATCCAAAAGCCCAAAATAATGATAGCTTAAAAACAAAAGGGTTAATTATCTTTCTTATAACATATTTTGTTGATTCTGAAACACATTTTATTTTTTTACAATTTAACATTTCTGAAATCAAAATGACTTCAGTACTGATGCAGTAAGAAATCATTGCATCAGTTTGATTGACAATGGGCTTTAAATAATACAAAGAATAATAATGCACCTTAAGAGTTAATGGAATATGGTTAAAAAAATTAAAGTTAGATTGCACCAAACAGATATAACAGCTCCACAAGATCATGAAGGACCCAGACTGCTTTCTATTATTCTCTTCTGCCATTCTCAGCCCCCATGTCCATTCTCAGAGTAACCTTATAGTCCCAGATGGCTGCTGGAACTCCAGCCACTGTATCCACATCCCAAGCAGCAGATAGGAAAAGGACACAAGGCCTTTAAGTCTCTCTTCCTTTCCTGAAGTCCCTTTCTACAATTCTACAACTTGTTCCTATGAATATACCTAGTTGCAAGAGAGACTAGCAAATACAACTGAAGTTGATCATGTTGTCACCTCCAATAATACAGGGATATTTAGGAATAATATCAGATCACTTAGAAAGAAAGGGAGAATAGATGTCCATTAGGCAATGGTTTCCACCAGTTCCCAAAGCAAAATGTCTACAATCAGAGCTGCTAAATGTAGCACGATGGTGGTGATGGGGGGGGGGGGGGAGAGGACAGGGTGTCAAAAATCAGCTAAAAGAGATTTTTTTTAACTACATTTCCTTCTCAACCTCTGGGGACTGTATCTAAGGGTGTTGAAAATGATGAACACGTTGATGCAAATGTAAGAATTAAGTGAAATGGATAAAAGTGTTGTTTTCAGAACACTAACCTCATAAGTCTTTACTAAAGAAGTGTATCCAGAAATATTGGTCAGAAATTACAACACTTGATAAACTATCCCAACATTCTGATACATTTCATATGAAATGTGAGTATCATTGCACTTCTTGGGATCACTGGTGTTACATTTCTATTGTAATATCAGTTCTATTTCTTCAGTTAAGCATCATGTATAAGAACATATGAAATTTATATTAGTCATGATGAGGTCAGGTTAGGAAGCAGTAACAACCCCCAAATCAATGATTTAAGATTTAAAAAAAAAATGTTTATTTCTATCTCACAGTCTGTTGCAAGTACAGGTAACTTTCCAGAGCACTTATCTTCCATATGTTGTATCTATATTCCATGCTTTGATCTTATGTCACTTTGACAAAACTTCTACAATTGCTGCCACAGGGTAATACACATACATCCCTTCCATCCATAATCCATTGTCAAGGATGAATCACACAGCTCTGCCCGACCGCAAGAGAATCAGGAAATATAAATTCTCATGTGCTCAGAGAGGAGATCTGTGCATGGATGAATATTAAAGCTCTCTACTACCAAAGTCACATCAAAAATGTTTAAATGGCACCAGTAAATAAGACTATGTCTCATTTGAGATGTGACACCCTTCGGGCACTGATCCTAACAACCAGGGTCTAATTTGTAGTTGCTATAATCGGTATTTGTTAGTTCCCTATTTGGTTTCTATCCCACAATTTCGTTTTCTTAATATTTTCCTAATTTTCATGCTGGTATCTATCTAGCCCTTCACCCACTTATCTGCTCTGAGTGAACCCACTGCTTCCTCCATGCCCCAAGTTAGGTCCAAATTGGCTTAGGCCAATTAATGTATTTAATTTACCTTGGCGTTGTCATTTGTTCAAAGGGGGCCATGTGACTAAAACTAGCTCCATGAGAGTGAATTTCATCTCTTAATACCAAAATGTTGGGCAAAAGTGCATTCTTTGACTCTATACATGAATAAGAAAACCCCTTCCATGACCATTAGAGGCGCCAGTTTTAAAACTAGGCCTACACTATAAATGACAGAACACAGAGATTGGGAAGAAATTATTAAAGTGGGTCCTTAGTGACAAAACTAAGCTGTTTGGTCATCCAGTTTTGAGTCTGTGCTATCTCTGAGCTTTCCAGTTTAATGAGCCCTCCCTTCATTTTTTTAAAGTCAAATTTGATTTGGGTTTTCTGTTTCTTGTAGCAGTGAACATTCTACCAATTTTTTTTAATTTTTATTTATTTATGATAGTCACACAGGGAGAGAGAGAGAGGCAGAGACACAGGCAGAGGGCGAAGCAGGCTCCATGCACCGGGAGCCCGACATGGGATTTGATCCCAGGTCTCCAGGATCGCGCCCTGGGCCAAAGGCAGGCGCCAAAACCGCTGTGCCACCCAGGGATCCCCCTACCAATATAATTTTCAGTGTAAAATGGAGCATAACCTCTCTTGGGATACTTTAAGATAAACTTCTGCTGAGTTTAGCTTTAAGGAAAAGATTGAAGAAAATGTACAATTTTTACTAATAAAAATATATGAAGGATGGATTTTATTAAACAGAAGGTAAAATTAGAAAAAAAAATTTGGTAGTACTCTGAAACTAGAAAAATCTAAAACTAGAGATATTTGCAAAAATGGCTGAATTCAGCTCTAAGGCAGAATTTGTACATGACAGATACGGGAAATTTTGTGGTTCCAGAGAGCAAGCCACTATCAGAAATAACAGGGTCATATCAAAATATTTCAGCATTACATGATGTTTGGTATTTGTTTTAAAATAATCCATGATGATCCTCAACTCTATGGTCAACTAAACTTTGACAAAGCAGGCAAGAATATCCAATGGAAAAAGACATTGTCTTCAACAAATGATGTTGGGAAAATTGGACAGCCACATGTAGAAGAATGAAAATGGACCACTTTCTTAAACCATATACAAAGATAAACTCAAAATGGATGAAAGACCTAAATGTGAGACAGGAATCCATCAGAATTCAAGAAGAGAATACAGGCAGCAACTTCTTTGACGTTGGCCACAGCAACTCCTGTCAAAACATGTCTTTAATAGCAAGGGAAACAAAGGCAAAAAATGAGCTATTGGGATTTCATCAAGATAAAAAACTTTTGCACAGCGAAGGAAACAGTTGCACAAAACCCAAAGGCAAACTACAGAATGGGAGAAAATATTTGCAAATGTTTCATCAGATAAAGGGTTAATGTCCAAAATCTGTAAAGAAGCTTTCAAACTCAATAGCCAAAGAGCAAATAATCCAATCAAGAAATAGGCAGAAGACATAAACAGACATTTCTCCAAAGAAGACACACAAATGGCAACAGACACATGAGAAAATGCTCGTCACTCGGCATCAGGGAAATACAAATCAAAACCACAATGAGATAATACGTCACACCAGTCAGAATGGCTAAAATTAATAAGTCAGGAAAAGACAAATGTTGGCAAGAAAGCAGAGAAAGGGGAGCCCTCTTACATTGCTGGTGGGATGCAAGCTGGTGCAGCCACTCTGTAAAACAATGTAGAGGTTTCTCAAAAAGTTAAAAATAGAGCTACCCTATGACCCAGCAATTGCCCTACTGGGTATTTACCCCAAAGATAAAAATGTAGTGGTCTGAAGGAGCATCTGCACCCCAATGTTTATAGCAACAATGTCTACAATAGCCAAACTATGGAAAGAGCCCAGATGTCTATCAACAGATGAATAAAGAATATAAAAAAAAATTTGCGATTTGCAAAGACATGGATGGAACTAGAGGGTATTATGCTAAGTGAAGTAAGTCAATCAGAGAAAGACAATTATCATAGGATTTCATTCATTTGTGGAACTTAAGAAACAAAACAAAGGAACATAGAGAAGGGGAGGGAAAAATAAAACAAGATGAAATCATGAAATCAGACGGAAACAAACCATAAGAGATTCTTAACCATAGGAAACAAACTGAGAAATGCTTGGAGGGGAGGGTGTTGGGGGATGGGGTAACTGGGTGATAGGCATTAAGGAGGACACATGTTGTAATGAGCACCGGGTGTTATATATAACTGATGAATCACTGAACTTTACCTCTGAAACTAATAATTTAAATTTAATTTAATTTAAATAAAATAACATTTAAAAAATAAAACAAAATAATCCTTCACATGGGATGCCTGGGTAGCTCAGTTTGTTGGATGGCCAACTCTTGATTTTGGCTCAGGTTATGATCTTAGGGTCCTGGGATAGAAACCTGTGTTGGGTGCTGTGCTCAGTGGGGAGTCTGCTCATATGTTCTTTCTCTCTCCCCACCCCCGTCTGCCCCTCCCAGCACTCATGTACAGTCTCTCTATATAAAATAACAAATATTTAAAAAATAATTTTAAAAATAATCCATGACAGGGGAAGGCATATAGTGCTACAGATGACTAAAGATTAGTCATGAGTTGATAATTGTCAAACCTGAGTGATAATATACACGGTGGTTCATTATACTATTTTCTGTAGTTTTATGTTTGACATTTTTTATTTAAAAAAAGAAAAAAATTGGAACAAACTTGTAGGAAATCTTACTGGCCTAACATGAAACAATTCACACATCAAAAATAATAATGACTATAGTTAACTAAAACACATCAATATTTCCCAAATCCATGAGTTCTTATCAATCAGACATTCCTAGGATACCCACTCATTACTCTAAAAACTGGTAAATGGAAAACAAAAATCAAGAATTTAGTTTGCATTTATTTGCAAATTCTATTTCAGGATGTGGCAGCCATGGAGGTGCAACTCATCTCCTTTCAAGAAAGAACTTCCCAACTTTGCTGTAGGGAACACAGTTAACTTAGCCTCTAGCTATTAGCTCCTATAGGATCCACATTAGCTTTTGAGCTAAGGCCACCCTCATCCCAGGCAGTCCTTAGACAATGACTGATCAGGGCAGAAGAACCAGGAGCTGACCATTTAAGACAAATGTGGGACTCTTCTAGTGGGAAGTCTTTACTCCAGAGTTCCTCATTGGACTCTGCAAGACTTTGTCAGATTTGCTTCATGGTCTAAGGCCTTGCCCAATGACATCCATTTGTCCAATGACTTCCCTCCATTTCCATCTATCACAGATGTTATTTCTCAAAACTTCAACTTCTATGCCTCTACTTCTGATTCCTAGAGGACACAAAGTACACACAAACTGACCAAAAAGTTGATGAAAGTTCTTTATGAAAGTTAATCCACGCAAAAGGAGTTAAAAATTACAAAATCATCCTTTACAACTCCAAATGAAATCATGAATTTTATAAATAATTATCAGTAGACAATTATTAGGTAAAATGTTGACAGGGAATTTTATGGAAGTATCAGACTAATAATATTTGAATCTATTGATCAATCTCAGTATTTCTAAAAGCGAGAGAATTACATATTTTACGTTCCTAGCACAATGTAATGAAATATTCACAGCACCATTTACGTTTTCTGGGCCAAAGTACTGGGCCTGAATCTAATCAAATCTTTTGCTCTATCAGTTTACAGGAAACATGGGGAATAAAATAATAAATTAAAATCACCATGGAAGATCAATCAGGCATATCAATAATGGTGGATATTCCACAAAACAAATGACTGTTTTTTCTAACAAATCAATAGCATGGAGGAAAAAGAAATAATTCCCAACTCATTTTTCAAGATTAGCATTACTTTAATAACAAAGGAGGAAAAGACAGTTCAAGAAGAAAAATTACATTTAAATGTTCCTTATGAAGATAGATGCAAAAATTCCCAGTAAATTATATTAATAGAATCAATATTTAAATATCATAACACAGAATGACCATATGGAGTTTATTGCAGAAATGCAAAGTTGGTTCAATATTCAAAATACAATCAATGTAATCTACAATATTAATACTCTAAAGAAGAAAAACCATATGATTATATCCATTGACACTGAAAAGCATTTAACAGAATTCAACATCCATTAATGGTAAAAACTCTAATCAAATTAGGAACACAGTAGAACCACTTAAACCTGATCAATGGCATCTACTAAAAATCTACTTAAAACCTGTATTTAATGTGAAAGTTATAATGCTTTCCCTCTAAGATCAGAAATAAACAAGAAGGTCCATTTTCACAATTCCTATGCTAATATTGTAGTGGAAGTCCTATAATGAGAAAAAAAGAAAGGAAGAAATGAAATGGAGGGAGAGAAAGAAAAGAAGACAGAGAAAAAAAGAAGAAAGAAAAAATAATAAAAGACATACAGGTTAAAAAGAAATAAACTATCCCTATTCGTGGATGACATTATTGTCTATCTAGAAAAACCCAGGGAATCTAAAGGGAAAAAAAAAAAAAACCAAACAACAAAAAAACCCCAGAAAAGCCCCTAGAATTTATAGATAGGATGCAAGTTCAACAAACAAGAATCAATTATATTGGCAACAGAAACCTGTAAGCCAGAGTGCCTGGGTAGCTCAGTCATTTATGCTACCAACTCTTGGTTTCAGCTCAGGTCATGATCTCAGGGTTGTAAGATTGAGCCCTGAGTCAGGCTCCATGCCTAGCTGAAGATCCTCCCTCTCCCTCTGCCGTTGTGCTCCCTCTCTCCTTAAAACAAAAACAAACCTATAAGTCATAACTAAACATCAATACAATTTACAGTAGCTGTTCCCCTAAAAAAAAAAAAAGAAAAAAGAAAAAAAGAAATTGTAAGCATAATGAACACATATAGAATTTCTATGCTGAAAACTACAAAATGCTGAAGAAATAAAGAAGATCTAAATAAATTGAGTCATTCCCATTCACGAATTGGAAGATTAAACATAGTAAAAATGGCAAATTCCTTCAGAATGATTAACAGACTTACTGTAATTCCAATCAAAACCCTAGCAGGATATTTTGTAAACATAAAGTTGAATCAAAAATTAGTATGGAAAGGGAAAAGGATTAGAACAGCCAAAACAATTTTGAAAAAGAAGAATAAAATTAGAGGAATCGCATTATCTTATTCTAAGATCTTCCATAAAACCACTCCAAGACAAAGGAGGAGATGTATAGATCAATAAAACAGAACATAGTCCAGAAATAAACCCACACGAATATGGTCAACTGACTTTTCACAAAAGTTTAAAAGAAAGTCGATGAAAACAAGCATGCTCTTTTCAACAAGTGGCGCTAGCAGAATTATACATCAGTAAAAAAATATGCACCTTGACATAAATCTTATGTGCTATAAAAACTACTAAATGGAATATAGATCTAAATGGTTTTTTGTTTGTTTGTTTATGTAGAGCCCAATGCAGGCTAGAATTCACAATCCTGAGTTCAAGACCTGAGCTGAGATCAAGAGTTGGACCCTTAACTGAGTGAGCCACCTAGGAACCCCTAAATGAAAAATGTAAAATACAGAATACTTGGAAGAAAACATGAGAAAAATTTAATGACTTGAGTTTGAGCAAAAAGTTCTTAGATATGATACAAATTCACAAGAAAAAATTTATAAATTTGAATTCATCAAAGTTAAAATTTTTGTTCTATGAAACCCATCTCAGAACTAGCTACAGATAGGAAGAAAATATTTACAAGTCACATATACGACAAAAGACTTGTATCTATTGAGGAAGAACCAGAGCCTGATGACTTTACATGTTGCCACATGGGCCACCTGAGCAAGGCTTGAATAGCAGCTGAATCTTGACAGAATGCCTTGTGGCCCCCCTGGAACATGAGAGCATGGTAGATCTGAGAGGTCCTGCTATAAGGCTACTTCTCTCTGGCTTCCTTATCAACCCTGGAGAGTGTCCTGAGATAGCACTCATAATTTCAGGGTTCTTATCGGTTATGTGGCTTTTCTGCCTTGCTAGCATTAAGGCACATGTACACCTATAAAAGTGATGAGCAGCACCATGGAATGGAATCCTCAGCAATAGAGCATCCTATCATTCCTACTATAGTCATCTGGACTCTTATGGCTTCTTTTGTTTCATTGTCTTCCCACACAAAGGCCACAGGGAGCTGATACTTTTAAGCTACTTGTCTTTTCACTCAATGTAAAGAGTAAACTGAGTCAAAAAAGGGCTCATTGTTTCTTTACTAGCTGAATCTGGAAGACTGGCTTTGCCTTGTGCTTCAAAGTATCAGAATATATAAAGAACTCTTAAAGCCTGATATTTAGAACAAGCAACCCAACTAAAAAATGGGCAAAATATCTGGATAGAAAATCCACCAAAGGGCAGCCCGGGTGTCTCAGTGGTTTAGCTTCTGCCTTCCGCCCAGGGCGTGATCCTGGAGTCCCAGGATCAGGTCCCGCATCAGGTTCCCTGAGTGGAGCCTGCTTCTCCTTCTGCCTGTATCTCTGCCTCTCTCTCTCTCTCTCTGTGTGTCTCTCATGAATAAATAAATAAAATCTTAAAAAAAAAAAAGAAAGAAAATCCACCAAAGAAGATATGTGGAAGGTAAAATAAGCACATGAAAAGCTGTTCAATATCATTAGGCATTAGGGAAATGCAAATTAAAGCCACAATGCAATACCACTACATACATATTAGAACGACTAAAATTTTAAAAATACAGTACTAGAAAAGATGCAGAGCAATTGGAATGCTTGCATGGCTGGTGGAAAGCCAAATGATTCAAGGATTCTGGAAAAACAGTTTGGCATTTCTTAGAATGTTCAACATGCATTTATCTTTATGACCTAACAATTCATTTCCTGGGTATTTAATCTCAGCAACCAAAATGTCCCTACGCAGGTGAATGAATGAACAAATTGCAGTATATCCATACCGTGACATACTATCTAGCACTAAAACAAGGAACACCCTATTCACACAACATGAATAAATCTTAAATGCACTTTGCTAAGAGAATGAAGCCATTCTCAAGGAATTACATACTCTATAATGCCATAGGACAGTCTTGAAATGACAAATCTGTAATAACAGAGAACAGATCGTTGGTATTGGGGGTAGAGGTGCAGAGAGGGTGTGACTACAAAGGGAACAAGGTATTTTGGGGGGGTAATGGAACTGTTCTGTATCTTGATTTCTTGATTGTGGTAGGGATTGCATGAATCTATTTACATGCTAAATTTAGAGAACCAAAAAAGGTAGTTTCCATATTTCCATATATATATATATATATATATATATATAAACAGGCAAGTTTGCTGTATGTTAATTTAAAAATAAAATTTAAAAAGAAAGAAAAAAGGGAGAACAATGATAAAATAAGAGACTTAAGAGACAACTAAAAAAAATTGCAATTTTTGGACTTTGGGATTCTGATTTGAACAAACCAACTACAAGAGGCATTCTTTATAGAACCAAGAAAACTTTAAGGTTTATTTGGAAGTATAAGTTAAATTTAAGCTTTTTAATTATGATGATGGCCTTGTAGTAATGTAGAAAAAATCTTCATCAGTTAGGTATGTATTCTGAAACACACAAGTATGAGTGAAATAGGATTAAGTCTGGGATTTTTTTTTTAATTTTATTTATTTATGATAGTCACACACACAGAGAGAGAGAGAGAGAGAGAGAAAGAGGCAGAGACATAGGCAGAGGGGGAAGCAGGCTCCATGCACCGGGAGCCCGATGTGGGATTCAATCCCGGGTCTCCAGGATCGCGCCCTGGGCCAAAGGCAGGCACTAAACCGCTGCTCCACCCAGGGATCCCTAAGTCTGGGATTTAGCTTTAAAATAAGTTAGGAAAAAAGTGAGAGAGATACAGCGGCAAATGTTGAAGCTAGTGGTTCATTATATGATCTTTACTATTTTTGAGTATGTTTGAAGTTTTCTGTAATTTTTCTTAAAAATGGAAAACAGGTTTCAAAAACTGAGAACTTCCTTTCCACATTTATTATAAGGCAGTAGACACTATAGGCCTACAGTTGGTTTCCATCTCAATGTCAAATCTTTCCAATGATTCCAAATAAATAAATGCTGTGTATGCCAAAAATAATACTGACATATGGAAAAAAACAAAAAAAAAAACTAGTCTCCTAGAAATCTTACACCTTGAGCAATAAACTCCTAAAATTGCTAGATTAGTAATGATTTGCAGTTAGATTTTAAAATAGCATATCAAAACAGCTTCTTTTATATATTACCATTTTCAATGACACTATCAAAGAAATAAAGGGTGAAAAATTTACAGCAATAATTGTGATTCTAAAAACCTCAGCTAAAAAACAAAATTACTCAGGCTTTTTGATTCTCATTAATTATTTACACAGTGTGACTCTCTTGCTGTGTTGGTCCAGTCTGTTCTTTTGAGTATTATTATTATTTATTGTTTTCTTGAGCACTTAGCACAGCATGATATACGTGATGACAAATTCCCTCCCCAGGGGCAACAATCAAAGCCACACAAGCAAAACACAAAGATTAGCTATTTAAGAAATAAAATCCAAATTAAAGGTTAAGAAACACAGTCTGAATTCTGTTTTCTTTTGCTTTCAGCTTTAAGTCCACGATACAACATATGCTTCTTTTAGGAGCCCAAAAGAAGAGTGACGTTGGCAAGACAAACCAAAAACAAAACCAACAGGTGTAGGAGATAGAAAACATCCTAGATATTATTCTAAGAAGACATCCTGTCTTAGAAACCCTTTCATTCTCTGAGATATCTAAATTACTAAAACCTCCTAGCTCCAGTAGACTGTAATAGCTTTGTGTGTGTATGATTTGGGTTTTCCCAACAGACTTCTCTGTTCCTTTTTTCTTTTTTTCTTTTTTTTTATAATACCACTCTTGCTTCAGGAACTGCCTCCCCCAGTCTGTGTATTCCTGATGAGACTGTCAATCATAATGCACCTTTCCCCTATCTAATAATGACATTGTGCTGAAGGCTATAGGCCTGGAAAAGCCCAAGGTCATTTTTACAGACTGTGCAATGAAATTTCTCTGCAGGGTCCATTAGGTCCATTTGCAAGAAAAAAAAAAAAAAGAAAGAAAGAAATAGTTATAGTTAAGTGCTGGCAGTTCTAAGTCCCAAATCGAGCCTCTGAGACCCTAGTTCCTATAGTCCTTTAGGTCATTAGAGCTACTCCACAATCCTTTTATCTTTATTTATTTACTTTTGGGAAGGAGAGGTAGAAAGAGAATCTTAAGCAGGCTCCATGCTCAAAGCGGACATAGGGCTCCGTCTCATGACCTTGAGATCATGACCTGAGACAAAATCAAGAGTCAGGCACTTAACTTACTGAGCCACCCAGCTGCCCCTTCACAATTCTTTTAAGCTAGCACACCCAAGTTTGGGGTTACAGTAGTATGAATTAGGCTTCTTTGGTCATTTGCACCCAAAAGAATCCTGAGAAGTTAAAAGAAGTTGCCCAAGATCCAAAGGCTCTTAAAAGGTAGAGTCATTATTCAAACCCAGGTCTCTCCACCTCCACGTAGTAGACTTTTCCTACTATGCCAACTTACTTTTTATGTTACAGATGTTCCTAAAATCTAGTTTCCTTAAGATTGAGAAAGGAATGAAAAGGGGCTGAAAGGGAGTGGGTCAGTTTATCTAATCCTATATTGGTGTCTTGGTAATAGGCAGAAGGTAAAAACTACAAATACCATAATCTAATAAAATTTTATCTTAATCCATTTTGCACAGTATTTAATGCATATGAACAAGAACTCCAGGAAGCAATCATACAAACTTCTACCTACGAGCAAATCAAAGGTGTGGAATTCTAGGAAAGAATGATATCGAAGTATTTTCTCTTCCCTCTACTCTACCCAGTTGTAATGGTTGCATTAAAAAATAATGTTTAATACCAACTGCACCAAATAAAAGCTTTAAGTTTTTGAAGTTTATAGAGAATACCTCTATTTGTTTCAAGTGTCTTTATTTCACTCTCTCACCAATCTATGCAAGGAAAAAAAAGTACTGAAATGATTCTAGCAGATTACAAATTAAATTAATGGTTTGTTCTTTGATAGCAATTACTTTTAAACATCAAATAAAATGTTTCCTCACTTTCTTATCCTATTTATTCACCTCTGAAAGATTTTATTTTTAAGTAATCTCCACACCCAACGTGGGCTTAAACTCACAACCTCAAAATCAAGAGTTGCATGTTCTACCAACTGAGCCAGCCGGGTGTCCTCTCACTTTTCTATTTTAAATGATTACTTTGTTAATTTTTAAAAAAATTTATTCATGAGAGACACAGAGAGAGGCAGACACACAGGCAGAGGGAGAAGCAGGTTCCTTGCAGGAAACCCAATGTGGCACTCGATCCCAGGACCACAGAATCATAACCTTAGCCAGAGGCAGCCGCTAAACCGCTGAGCCACCCACAAGTCCCACTTTTGTTAACTTTTAAAAGTACTCTGTTCCAAACTAAAAGTCACTGTTTTTAAATTTTTATTTATTTGAGAGAGACAGAGCATAGGCAGGGGGAGTGGCAGAGGGAGAGGGTGAAGCAGACTCCCAAGAGCAGGGAGCCTGACACAGGGCTGGATCCCAGAACTCTGATCCTGGGACTCTGATTCCAGGACTCTGGGATCATGACCTGAGCCAAAGGCAGATGCTTAACCAATTGAGCTGCCCAAGTGCTCCTAAAAGTCACTGTTTTGAAACCTATGAAATATCCCATTATATTGAAACTAAAGGATGATAAATTATTTCATATTCTCCTATGAATGAAAGTGGCATGAAATCTGTTGCAAGCCCAGGTGTCAGTAGATGAGAGAAGCTACCACATTCTTTGGACAGATACTCAACTTGAGTCCTAGTGGTTCCAAGGCAGTAAGGCAGAAAGGCTTCTTGCTTCTACTAAGGCAGCTCTTCATTCATCAGTATGTCACAAAGACTGTGCAGAAGCTTTTGTTTGAAGAAATAATTCCACTGCCTAAAAGTAGAGGCTTAGGATAGGGTGGTAGAAATCATTTGCATTGTATATTTGTTTTTCCCTTTCAAAATCAATGTGCTGTAATTCTTATTAATGTTTTTATAGTATACCATTGATACAGGTATCAAAACAGTGACTTTTTTTTGGAACAGTGTACTTTTAAAAATTAACAAATACTTTGTGTCTTCTATAAGCCGAACTTAAAATATGAGGGCAAATGAAACAAAACTATTGCTGCCTCAATTTGAAAGCAATTATGCTTTTTTTTAGAGTTTTAGGGAAAACCAAATGGCAAGGTTTCTAGAATCAGAACACTTTTGCCTTTTAGCTATGTAAAAACTTAAAAGTTAAACCTTGCACTGGAAAAATTTAGAATCTTTGAGTTCAAAGTTTCTCCTACCACTGTATTAATCTTGTCTTTGATTTCTCTTTCTATAGAGAGAGCATATAAAAACATGTTTAGCATTTCCTATTCCAGGTTGCATTTTATCTTGAGTAGATTTAAAACCAGATTAGTTGTAATAGGATTCCAGGATGTGGGCAGATGTCTACTTGTCATGGACGATCTCTCTTGCAATCAGCTCCTTCATTATTTCGTTGGTACCACCATAGATTGGCTGAGCTCGGGCATCCACATAAGCTCTAAATAAATCAGAAGATGATTGAATGAGTAAATAAAATATATTGGAAATTACAAATTTTGTCTTACCGGGTAACTATTATTTACTTTTAAGTATTTATTTAATGAAATCTGAACATTTAAAGCTCTTTATAAATTACTTTTTTTCACTATGGTGTTCATTTTAGATTTATATAATTATAAAATTCTATTAAGATACTGATCATCTGTATAGCTTTGCTTTAGTCTGCTTAATGAGATTACATTTTTTAAAAGATTTTATTTATTTATTTGACAGAGAGAAAGAAAGAGCAGGTGCACAGAACACAAGCAGGGGGAGTGGCGGGCAGAGGGAGAAGTAGAAGCTGGCTCCCCAGGAGCCTGACGAAGGACCCTGGGATTATGACCTGAGCCAAAGGCAGATACCCAACAGACTGAGCCACCCAGGTGCCCCAAAATCACAATTTCAAAATAACATTTATTAGTATGTTTCATTTGATTTAATTTTGTTAAATTCAGCTCACATAATAGCATTCTTAAAAGGCTATTTCAGGCTTAGAATGGACAGAATGTCTTAATTTCTTGTTATTTTTAATGTATCCTTAAGAAAGTTGAAATCCACTGGTTTTATAGGAAACAAAAGAGAAAACAAAGTATCTATTTTCTAACATCCCTTTAGATTGCCACCACCATTGCTGTCCTCAGGAGCATAAATTGATGCTTTAAAAAATATTACTTCCCACAAAGTTAACAAGTAACTTATTTTTTGGAAATCGTTAATAGTCATTCCAGTAATGTATGACATTAAAATACTGAGTGCCTGAGTCTACTGCCACCAAAAAAAAAAAAAAAAAAAAAGTTACCAGGAATTCTCATTTGGTAGCAATGATAGCAACCATGAAACTTTATAGTTGTTTTTACCTTTTCTCATCTCATTTTATCCTCTCAGCTCTGGCATCAGGAAGGATAAATATTATTGTTTTGTAGGTAAAGGAACTCAGGTGCAGAGCAGTTACCACATGTACTAATTAATGGTTGCTATTTAATGGTAACATAACAGATAATTAATTGGCAGGCTGGAATGAGAAAGTAGGTATCTCACCACTTCAGCAAGTATCTTTTTTATTATATCACAATATTTTAATTGGTCTATGCATGCAAGACTAGTTATTGAGCTTTGGACTTTACTAGTAGACAAATGCAAAGGCATTTTTTTCAAGCAGTTTTTTTTCTTTTTTTAAATTTCACATTTGAGAAAAATTAAATATGCCAGCTCTCTAGGAACATGATCAGTTCTGGACTCTCCATATTTATCATGGGACTTTGTAAAAAGTAAGCACTCAGTAAATATTTATTGATTTAAGGTATTATAAAGGAATATTTGAGCCTCAATATGACTTTTTGATGGAACTTGAAATCTGAAGATATTTTCATTTTCAAATATATTTTTTCTTTTGAAAAGAATCCATTGTTACCCACAAAATCTAACACTTGCATATAGAGAATCTACCTGGCATTTCAGCCTACTTCAGCAATTTCAACACTTCTTTAGAAATTTTTGGACTGGGCTGGATTTTTTTTTTTCCTTCACATTAAAGAAGTGAAGTTCCAATGGAGTAGGTAATGACAGAGATCAGTAGGCCTTTTATAAGTTACTAATTAAATTCAGTCACCAACTAAAATTAACAGAGAAAGGCAGCAGAAGGAATGTTTAACCACATAGTTATGAAGCTCTGTATCTCAGGCTGTTCTTCCTAACATGGCAGAGAAGTCTTGAATTGGCAAAGCTTAATAAATATCACTTCTCACAGGCAGCAAGCCTAATGAGTAAGACTGAACCAAATTCACATGCATAAGACCAATTATTTAAAAAAAAAACAAATAAAATGCAACTAAACAAAAAAGCAAACACAAAACAAAAAAACAAATCCCAAAAACATACACAAATAATACAGCTTGATCTGAAGATATAAGAAACACAATTAGAATGATTTTCTTCCATAGAAAGTCTGCACTGCAACCACATACTGTCTAATGTGTCTAATCAGCCTTTTGATATCATCTACTATTCTCTCTCTTGCTAACCTATGAAAAGTTCTTTCCTCATGTCTTTGGAGAAGAGAAATAGCAGTCTAGTTTAAAAGTTCATACAATCTTTGAACTAACAAACCAGCCAAGAAGGGGATTATTATTCCTAAAAGGAAATATAAGTCTCTCAAATTGAAACCAGGCATTTCAATAAGCCATCAAACTGCAATATTTGCTTGCTACTGACCTGAAGGAATGGCCTCTAAGAAAACAGAGGGCAAGACTCACTCTGCACTCTGATCTTGAGCCATGTGGATGGGTGATGCCTCTTCACCTCACAGGCCTTTCCTGGAACCTGAACTAGACCTACACAGACACTGAGCCACTGCATGTCTACATTTCCAGCAGCGGTTGTAATGGCACAGTCAAGTAGAAGAATATAGATATTCATTATGAGCTTACTTTCTTAGCATTGTGAACATTGTGAATAAGGTGGATTAATATTGTAAATAAAACATGAAAATGCACAGAAAAAATTCCAGTGATGATTTACTTTGTGCTAGTATAACTCAATGTTTATGTCTGATTTCATGACTATACAAAGATAAAAAAAATAAATCTGCTTTTGATTAAAGTTCATTTGAAGTAGATCTGAAAGGATATACCAAAATCCAAGTCCAAAGATTATCTCCCCCACAAAAAAATATATATTTATCATTTAGTTACTTTATGTCTACATTCCCAAACAAGGGAAAAGCCCTAGTTGCTGCTGAGTTTTTATAAAAGGTTATAAATTACACACACTCTGTGATTAAAGCTTTCTGAACTGCCCCAATGGCTACAGAAAATTAGTAGATTATATCTATGCTGGAGCTTCTGTTCTTAATGTAACTTAACTAAAATGTTTAATTTTCCTCATTAGAGACCATAAGTAGTATATCAAATGTTTTCAATTATGTCTGCCAAAATGATAAATTTGAAAGTCAGTCTGAATACTAGTTTGATATTTTTTCCCTTCAGATAGTCTGTGTTTAGATTAAAATTAGAATAGAAAAAGTTTTTGGAAGCCCACAGCATTCACATTCTCAAATGCAGAACTCAACTGGACTTCTCTCCATATAGTAAAACTTCCTTGAGTAGGTTTTATAAACTGAAAATACTGCTAAATCAGAGGAAAAGTGTATTTTGTAGAGTAATGAGGAGAAATGCCGTCAGGAAATGACTAAGGCAAAAGACTATGGGAAGAGAGAAAGAAGAAATGGATGGAGGAAGAAATATGGAAGAGGACGCTGCCTACTGACAAACTAGTATTGCTCCAGATAACAAGAATATTCTTAAGTAAGAGGTGCGTGGGTGGCGCAGTGGGTTGAGCAGCTGACTCTTGGTTTCAGCTTGGGTTGTGATCTCGGGGTCATGGGATCAGGCCCCACATCAGGCTCTGTGCTGGGCCCAGTCTGTTTGGGTTTCCTTCTCCCTCTCTCTCTGCCCCTTCCCCCGTACAAGCTCTCTCTCTAAAATAAAAAATAAATCTTCAGAAAATACTTATATGTAAGAGTAAAAAAAAAAAGGTCTGTTTTATCTCTTTCGAAGGAAATAAAAATTCTCTTTAAAAAATTAATACTTTTGACTGTTTTCTAGAGCAAAATGAATAATTAAATAGTTAAGATATGACAACCTTGATCCTTTTCATATTTAAATTTTTTTCTGAAATGCCAATTTTTTTAAATTTTTTTCTTTTAAACAGTGATATTTTAGGGGTGCCTGGGTGGCTCAGTCAGTTGTGACTCACTTTTGGTTTCAGCTCAGGTCATGATTTCAGATCCTGGAATTAAGCCCTGCATTGGGCTCCCTGCTCAGCGAGGAAACCTGCTTCTTCCTCTGCCTCTTCTGCATCTCCTCCCACCCCTCCACCCCCCACTGCTCCTGTTCTCTCTCAAATAAATATATAAAATCCTTTTTAAAAAATAAAAATAAAAAGTGATATTTTAAAAGAAGACATGGAAATGATGAACAGATATATGAAAAAATGCTCATTGTCATTCAGAAGAATGTGGAGAAACTGAAACTTCTCAACGCTTTTGGGGGAAACATAAAATGGGGCAGCTACTATGGAAAACAGTATGGAGGTTCTTCAAAAAATTAGAAAGAACTACTCTATGATCTTAAAATCCCACTTCCAGGTATTTATTGCAAAGAATTGAAACCAGGATTTCCAAGCAATATTAGCACTTGCATGTTCACTGCAATATCATTCAAAATAGACAAGATATATGGAAATAACCTAGATGTCCATGCACAGATGAATGGATTAAGAAAATGGAATGGGATACTGTTCAACCTTAAAACAGAAGGAAATTCTGCAATGTGTGACAACTTGGATGGATTTGACCATTCTGCTAAATGAAATAAGCCAGTCACAGAAAGACAACTACTATACGATTCCACCTATGTGAGGTATCTAAAATAGCCAAACTCATAGAACCAAAGGGAAATGGGAGTTGCCAGGAACAAAGGAAAGGGATAATGGGGAGTTATTACTTAATGGGCATAAAGTTTCAGTTAAGCAAGACGAACAGGCTTTAGAGGTCTGCCGTACAATATTGTACCTATAGTTAACAATAGAGTATGGAACACTTAAACATGTTTGAAGAGGGTAGATCTCATGTTAAATGTTCTTACTACAGGAAAATAAAATACTTAATAGTCAATGCAAACTAAAGGGAGAATAATAATCTATCTTCTACCCATTATATTCATACAAGGTTCAAAAAGCAAGACCATTCATTATTTAGGAGGATAAACTATCCTCAAATGTTTTTTTCATGCTATTAACTAAAGAAAATAATCTGGCAAAGTATTAAAATGTAAAATACGCATACTTTTGAACCAGCAATACTACTTTTGGAACTCTGTCCTGTAGTAATAGAAAACACATGTATCTAAGACAAATATTTAAAAGGTGTTTTGTTGCAGTATTTATTGTCACAATAAAGGAGTCGAAATAACCTGTGTAATTATGGTTAACCAATAAAATACAATATCATTCAACTATAAAAAAAGTGATATTAATCTTCCTGTATAGTCATTCTTATAAAGGCAAACTTTATTGGTCTCTTCATTTTCTTTAAAAATGAAAAAATCCTAGTTACAAGCTGATAACATGAAGCTGTTTCATCTGCTTGAACACTCTCTGTAGAGAGATGATAAATACAAAAATTTTGCATCTTTTTCCTCTACACTCAATGTACAGAGTAAAGAAATTTTCCTTTTTCTCCACATTATCTGGAAGAATGTAACACAACAACCATACTCACTTTGCAACTGGGTACTCCCACATGTACCCCCAACCTCCATGGAGCTGGACACAGTCATAAGCAATGCGGTTTTGTAACTCAGATGTCCTAGATGTCCAAAATAAAAAGCAAAAAGGAACATTTCAAATGGATTTTTATGAGGTGCTTCACATTCAGAAAACAGATTATTTCTATTCAAATACATAAATTTATCAAATTATTACAATTAGACATTAGCCAACCAAAGATTATCATAAGTTACATATGAAATTAATCTCTGGATTAATGAATGAATTCATTCACATAATGAATACTTTCTTCATCATTTAGTTCTGGCTGGGTTTTGTTAAGGCTAGAAATAAAATGTAGAAAACATAGACTATTAGGTTTTGGCTACTTCAGGCCTGAAAAGGACAAAGTAAAAATCTGAATTTGGTCTAATTTATTTAGATTCTTTGCATGATCTAAATTAACTATATAGTTAAACAGCCATCTATTTCCTTCTGTCTTATAATACCTCTTTTCCTCCAAAGATGTCACTTCTACCTGAAGCAATTCGGAATTTCAGTAACTGTGGGAAAAAAAGCTTTTTTAAAGGATTTTCAGAAATAAACTGAAAGTAAAAGTAAAAGCTTAAGAGGGTAGATAGACTACTATTAAGGTACATACCATTATATAGGAAACTTGTTAAATGATTTGGTTATTATTATTCCCAAAGTATATGAAATACTTGAGAAATATTCTTGATTGATCTTATCACAGTAATTTTAACTATCATTAAAATTCATAAGATAACTGGTAGAGATTTTATTCATCTTAATATAGAAACGTAAGTTCAAAATGCTTTTCAACATTACCCCCCCCCTTTTGTAAAGTAACCTCTGCCCACAATGTAGGTCTTGAACTCACGATCCTGAGATCAAGAGTCACATGCTTTACTGACTGAGCCCAATAGGTACCCCTGGATCTATTTTTCAATAGTGGGAAACAAAGCAAAAGTAAGCATAGCCACATTTTCCTATTTTAAATAATTTTTAACTCAAGCCATAGGATAGGTGAAGATATTTCTAATAATCACAGTAACAATATAATGATTAACAGATAAGACTCAGGGGGGCAACAATATTTGGAATTCTATACATTTTTGTATTTGGCAAATATTTTAGTGAAATATCTACTGGGCTACAACTAGTTGCTTCCTCTGCCTCAATGTGAAGTAACAATATGTCTATAAACAGTGTTTTCAAAGAACAATAAGGTCAATAGCTATCTGAATATCTCTTTTTCTAAAAATATCTTACCTAAAAAATGTTTACGCCTTTTCCAACTAGTTAAAGAACTTGCTATAAAATAAATGTAAAATATCTCCCCCAAAGTAGAAGTTCCTAGCAATTCCACATCAATTTCAGCCTGCCAGTTTTATTATTTTGGAATCATTACATAAAGAACTATTCTGTATATTTCCCCATTCTATTTCTGATTGAACCAAACACAAGTTAATGAATAATGACAGGAATTTTTTCTAGGTTATTTTTGGGCTAATGAGATGTGAGAATGTTTGTTTTTAAAGCAAAGGAAACCAAACCCATTTCCAGAATCTGATTTAAACTGTGTTCTTACATCTTAAAATACACAAAAGCCTTATAGGAGTCTTTTTTCAATTAGCTCATCTTTAATACGAATGAAAAGTCTTTCAAGCTTAACAGGACATTTTCCCTTTCATTTAGTAGAACATGTGCAACTTTTGATTGGACATTCAATTTTTCAAAAATTTTTTTTAGATTTGGATAACATTTCAGATAGAAAAATACAGTCCAATCTACTCACTTCACAGATATCAAAATGCTGGCCCAGAGAGAATTAAATTTAATTACAGTTATTAATGAAAGAATTGGGATTCCATCTCAGGACTCCAAGTCTTACTGTTCTGTTTTGTCTTATTATAGCACCACTCATCAGATAATTTGAAATTAAACTACTGCTTGAAAGAACTCATCAGTCACCCTACTTCAGTATCTTAATATCTTATTTTCAATTGCAAGCTAAAAGTTAAATCAACTTGACTAATTTTTGGCAGATTATAAATAGGCTTAATGGGACCTTTCAGCATTTTTTAAAAAAAAGTTGGTTCTTACTGTTAGTTTTCATTTTTACAGCCTTCTTCCTTTAAGACCCTCAAGGCAGAGTTTAAAGTTGGAAGAATTCCGTAATAGTCTGTGCAAACACCACATTTTAATTACTGAAGCACACATACCAATATTTCGCCATGGCGGCAGTGGTGGAGTCCAGACATTTCTTTTCATGCAGCTGGAGACAGCTGTCTACAAAAGCTCTGGTCACACAAATCTGTGTTTTTAATTCAGCTAGCTTATGCTGCACCGTCTTGAGTTTAAAGGACATGAAAGGAAAAAGAGAGCACATTTTTAGTCACCTAGCATATCAGAAATTATATAACAGAAGATCTTTATAGCAAAACAAAAGTGGAATTACCAGATTTTTTTTTCTTCCTCTTAAAGAGGTATATGTTAACTAAATAGCTTCAATTTAAAGCCCACTCTATTAATTGCTACGGAAATTTGTACTAAAAGATGAAAAAAGAGATAAATACATAAATAACATCTCATGTTTTAGATTAAAACATTTAGACCACGAAAGGAAATTGCTTGAGAAACAGCACAGCTGGGGCACCTGGGTGGCTCAGCCAGTTAAGTGTCTCCTTCAGCTCTGATTATGATCTTGGGGTCCTGAGATCAAGTCCTGATCAAGTTCCCTGCTCAGCGAGGAGTCGGCTTCCCCTTTACACTCTCTCTCTCTCTCTCTCTCTCTCTCTCTCTCTCTCTCAAATAAATACATAAAATCTTTGAGGAAAAAAAAAGAAAGAAAAACAGCATGGCTTTAATAGGTGAGCACCATCTGGTGGTACAGTCCTTTAAGTACAGCTGTTGAAAACACCTATTTATCTCCAGAATCTAAATCCACGAATAAGTCTCCTTTTTTTCCTTTTTTTTTTTTTTTAATAATTTGTCTCTATTAATGAAATTAAATATACACATTTCTCTATTCTGCTTCTTTGTCTTGGAGTAAAATAACAAGCTGGAGACAGCATTAAAAATATTAGACATTTTATGTTACAAAGTATTTTTAAAGATTTATTTATTTTTTAATTTTTTTATTTCATTTATTCATGAAAGACACAGAGAGAGAGGCAAAGACATAGGCAGAGGGAGAAGCAGGCTCCCCATGGGGAGCCCAATGGGGGACCTGATCCCAGTACCCCAGTGTCACGACCTGAGCCAGAGGCAGTTGCTCGTTCAACCACTGAGCCATGAAATCCCTATATTACAAAGTATTTAATCTAGATCTATAGAATGTAGTAGAATAACAGCATCAGAGCACTCAAGGGATCAAAGTCCAGTAACCTCCAACCTCTTTCATCTCTCTTTGCCCTCCCTCTTATTCCTCTCAATAGTGAGCCTCTACCTTGAACTGAATAATCTGGAATGGCCAATGTTAATATTTTATACTTTTTCCTGCTGGCCGTAGACAACCTATTACTAGCCTTCAAGATCAATCTCTATTCTTAAATGTTTTTGACTGTTTTCATTTTAATCAAAGTTCTTACATTCCAGATTTTTGGCTCTTAACCTGGAATTCCGAGTTTTTATCTGGTCTCTTTGGTACCAACTCTTAAACCTCCTTCAGGAAACTGGCTTGGATTTGATATACTAGTCTTCCAACTTTGGGTAACCCCCTGAAATACACCCCATTCTAGTTGGCCTCTTAGGTTCAAGGCCCAGTTATGGTCAACTGGCTGTCTTCCTTGTGGAAATCCAGATAAAGGCATCGAAGTTAGTGACAAAGATGGCACTGTTTAATTCAAACTAGAAATTAATGCCTATGCACTGGTGAGTTCAAAGCCATGAGTGAGTCCCCAAGAGGAAGGCTCTAGGGACCAGATTCTCAAGAGGATGCTGGCCCTGCCATTCCTACTGGTATAGCTCAAATCACAAAATTTAACCTTTTAGCATCACTGTGGTGGGAACAGTTTGGGTACTTTCCATTTCTAGAAAAGAGAAGAAAAGGAATATAATAAGACCCAGGACCAGGCAAGACCTGAGTGCCAGGAGGAGTAGGAGCTCTGAAGGGACAGATTCCTCAGAGATGTATCAATATAACTACTATGCCAATGAAAAACCCAACTTACTGCCTTTCCCTTGGCTTTATTCCATCCTGTTCTAGAAACAAACAATATGACTGGTACCTGATGGTTCCCAAACCAAGCAGTAGGAAGGTTAGCACCACACTTTTTCCACCTCTGTATCCTGGCCTCTAATCCAGAACATGCTGGGTCACATCAAAACCTTCTTCCCCTCTCACTCTTTCCCTTATGTGATCTATCTCCCTTTCTAGACATTTGTATTTAATTAAGCCAAATCTCTACCATCTAATCAGCACCAAGTTTCCCACTGCCACCCTAAATATCCAAGATTACTCACAGAAAATCGAAAGATGGAAGAAGAAATGAAATAAAATGGGGAAATACTGTTTTATACACTGAAAACAGATGATTATATATTCATATTCCTGTAAGCTTACTCCTAGTTTTTAGTTCAAGGACACTATAACACTTCATTTGGAAAATAAGGGAGAATCTGACAACTCTTTTTTAAAAAAAATTATTTATTTTCATTTGAGAGAGAGAGAGACAGAAAGAGAGAGAGCATGCAGTGGGGAGGGGCAGAGGGAGAGGGAAAGAATCCCAAGCAGATTCCTCACTGGGAGCAAAGTCCAATGCAGGGTCCCAAGACCCTGAGATCATGACCCAAGCTGAAATCAAGTGTCAGATACCCAACCAACTGGGCCACCCAGGCACCACGAGAATCTGACAATTCTTAAGATAATTTTGCCTTCTCCCCACTGTGATGGCACACTTGAGACCTTATACACTATTTACATTGTGAGAGAATCAAGATCTCTAAGCCCAATTCTCTCACATGACAGCTATTTCTCTAGGAATGCTGGGAAGTTCCAGAAGCTGAAGTTAAATTTTAGACCAGGATGGGCTCATTTAGAATTCTTGCTTAAATACATTTAGTGAGGTCTACAGGTTTAAAGAAATTAATGCCTCCAAGAATACATAATTTACTCTCTAGGGATAAAGAGATTAAATATTTACATACTCTTGGCATCACATTGGGTGCTACTATACAAATTATGTCTTGGCTCTTCACTGCAGATATTGCCTCATGCTTTCAGAAATTATTCTGTAATGGATGGTGGCGGCGAATAATTGTACCACACATTATTAATAAAGTGCTTTTTGTGAATGATCAACACACTTATAGTATTTTTAAATATTCACTAATAATCATTAATAGACAATACTGCAGATAGCATTTTTTAAAAAAGATTTTATTTATTTATTAATGAAAGAGAGAGAGAGAGCGCAGCAGAGACAGAGGGAGAAGCAGGCTCCATGCAGGGAACCGAAGTGGGACTCGATCCCGGGTCCCCAAGATCAGGCCCTGGGCTGAAGGCAGCACTAAACCGCTGAGCCACCCGGGCTGCCCTGCAGATAGCATTTTAAAAATATCCTCGAAACTTACTGAGTGAATCAGATAGAGTGTCTTTCAGAGTTCTGAATGACATAACTCTTCGAATCACAGAATTATGGAATTGGAATATACTTTGGAGAGGTCATCTGGCCCATATTCCATTTAAACAACACCATTAATTATACTCTAATACTTTATGACTCAAATATGAAATATAATATCTTAGGCTTGCCATTTAATTTTAGAGATAATTAACCCCACATTCAAGGTCTTAAGAACTGGGTAATTACTTTTTGTAGGGATGTATCGAAGAAGTGCTATTTTTTTCCCTCTCCTATTCCTTTTTGTAATATTCTGTGCTCTTAGAATCAAGAGTGTACCCATAGGAAATAACTAAAAGCTTGTCTTAGAAAAGAACATTGAATTTTTACTTCATTGCCCATGGGTGAAAGAAGTGAGGAAAGAAAAAAATCTATTGACTTTAAATTTCTGGGTAGTAAAACGAGTGTTATGAGTTAAGAGTATAGGTTCTGGAGTTACAATATCTGTGTTATCTTGGAAAATTGCTTAACCTCCTCATGCCTCAATCCCCTTATCTGTAAAATGAGGGTAAATATAATTCTTATATAGAGAGTTATATAGAGAGTTGTGAAGAAAAAAATGAGAGGATTCATTTAGCACAGTGTCTGGCACAAGGAAACAATGCAATAAATGAGTCATTATCATTATTTAATATCTGAATTTTACCATTTTACTAACCTTTGGAAAAATCATAAGATTTTATACCAAATATAGAGAGTATGAATGAAAAGAGATGAAAACCCTATAATAATTACTACTTAAGTATGATTGGTCTCCCTCCTAAAAAGAGTATGATTTTTTTTTTTTTTTTTTTTTGGTGAAATGCATCCAAGTGGTCAGAAAGGCCCCAAATATTCAAAATTCAAGGATGACAAAAAAGGAAGCAAACTGAATAAATGATCAGAAAATGGCATCGGGCTAAGTATGATATGACATTTAAAGGTCCTCTATTTCATTTTAATAACTGGAACGATAGTATACCCAGCTCTAGAATAGGAGGTGTAAGCAGTGTATTGGTTGTTAATCTTCCTTGAATACATTCCTAGATCGAATATGAAAATATTATTCAAAGATACTTATTTCAATAAAACAGAAAGATTAGAAGAAATATCTCAGAAATCTGAGAATATACATATTTACTCGGAAAATCATAGTAGACAGGTATCAGGAATATACTAGTGGAAGCAATGCTACTGCCACCTAGTGAGATTTTAGTAAACTATCTTTGAAAGAAGGCCATACTTGCTTTGAAAAGGATTAAAACTGTCTCCTCTCTTTTTGCTATCAAAATATATGTATTTATTTAGTATACATATTAGTAAAAGAAAATATAGGTTTACAAGGATATAGAAAATATGCTTGACTCACTTTTTATTTTGTAATTTAAAAAAATTTATTTATTTATTTGAGAGAGAGAAAGAGCATATACACCTCTTTGGGGTGGGGAGGGCCGGAGAGAGTCTTAAGGAGACTCTGCGTTGAACATAGAGCCTGACGTGGGGCTTGATCTAATGACCCTGAGATCATGACCTGAGCCAAATCCAAGAGTCAGACACTTAACCAACTGTGCCACCCAGGTGCCCCAATGTTCACTTTTTTCATAATAGGGCTAAAGGCATGAAACTTGTGGTGGTTGGATTTCAGAAGCAAAAGCTATCACAGGAATACCTTGTTTTCTTGCTCTTTGCTTTATTGCACTTTGCAGATGTTGCTTTTTTTTTTTTTTTTTTACATATTGAAGGTTTATGGTGACACTGTATTGACCAAGTCTAGAGGTGCCATCTTTCCAACAGCATTTGCTCACTTTGTATCTCTGTGTCATATTTTGGTAATTCTCTATTTCAAAATTTTTCAATATTATTATATTTGTTATGGTTATCAGCAAACTTTGATGTTATTATCCTTCTTGTTTTGAACTACCACGAACCACGCCCATGTAAGATGGTCAACTTAATCGATAAATGTGTCACTCCATTGACCAGTCATTCCCCCATATCTCTCTCTCTCCTTGAGCCTCCTTATTCCCTAAGATGCAAAAATACTGTAATAAGACCAACTAATAACCCTACAATGGTCTCTAAATGTCCAAGTGAAAGGAGTCACACGCCTCTTATTTTAAATCAAAAGCTAGAAATGATTAAGCTTATTGAGGAAGGTATGTCAAAAGCCAAGATAGGCTGAAAGTTACGGTTCTTATGCCAGTTAGCCAAGCTGAGAATGCAAAAGTAAAGTTCTTGAAGGAAATTAAAAGTGCTCCTCCAGGGAACATGTGAGTGATAAAAAAGTGAAACAGCCTTATTGCTGATATAGAAAAGTTTCAGTGGTTTGGATAGAAGATCAAACCAGCCACATTTCCTTATGACAAAACCAAATCCAGGGGAAGGCTCTAACTCTCCTTAATTCTATGAAAACCGAGAGCAGTGAGAAATTCAAAGAAGTATGAAGTTGGCAGAGGTTGAGTCATGAGGTTTAAGGAAAGAAGCCATCTCCATAACGTGAAGTTGCAAGGTGAAGCAGCAAGTGCTGATGCAGAAGCTGCAGTAGGTTATCCAGGAATTCCAGCTAAGATAATGAACAAAGACTAACCACACTAACCAACAGATTTTCAGAGTAGATGAACCAGCCTTACATTGCAAGAAGATGCTTCTATGACCTTCACAGCTAGGAAGGAGAAGTCAATGCCTGGCTTCAAAGCTTTGAAGGACAGGTTGACTTACTTGCTGGGGGTTAATGCAGCTGGTAATTTTAAGTTGGAGCCAATGCTCATTGGACATTCTGAAAATCCTAGGGTCCTTGAATTGTGCTAAATCTACTCTGCCTATGTTCTAGAACTGGAACAACTAAGCCTGGATAACAGCACATCTGTTTACAACATTAATGATTTATCAAATATGTTAAGCCCACTGCTGAAATCTAGCGCTCAGGAAAAAAAATCCCTTTCAAATATTATTGCTCGTTGACAATGTACCTGATCACCTGAGTTCTCACTGAGATGGACAATGAGAATAATGCTGTTTTCATGCCTGCTAACACATCTATTCTGCAGCCTGTGGATTAAGGAGTAATTTTGACTTTCAAGTTGTAGTATTTAAGAAACACATATCGTAAGGCTATAGCTGCCATAGATAGTGGAACATTCATGATTCATAGAAAGAGGTTTAAATATCAACATTAATGGGAGTTTTAGCAAAAGATGATTCCAGCTCTCACAGATAACTTTGAGGGAGTCAAGACTTCAGTGGAGAAAGTAACTGAGGATGTGGTAGGAATAGAGAACTAGAATCATAAGTAGAGCCTGAAGATGGGATTAAATTGCTGCAATTTTATAATGAACTTTAACAGAGGAGGAGTTGCTTCTTACAGATGAACAAAAAAGTGGTTCTCTAGAGATGGAATCTACTGGTAAAGATTGTGGAAATGACAACAAAAGATTCAGAATATTACATAAACTTAGTTGATAAAGCAGCAGCAGAATTTGAGAGGATTGTTTCCAATTTTGAAAGAAGTTCTACAGTGGATAAAATTCTATCAAACAGCATTGCATGCTATAGAGAAATTGTTTGTTGAAGGAAGAGTCAATGGATGTGGCAAAGTTCATTGTTGTCTTAAAAAAAAGGCACAGCCACCCAACATTTAGCAACCACCACCCTGATCAGTCAGCAGCCATCAACACTGAGGCAAGACCATTCATCATCAAAAAGATTACCACTCCCTTAAGGCTAGATGATGTCTAGCATTTTTAGCAATACAGTATTTTTTAATAAAAGTATGCACACCTTTTAGTCTTTTTAAAGATCTATTTACTTGAGAGAGAGAGAGACAGTGTGCATGCCCAGGAGAAGGGGTAGAGGGAGAGGGAGAAAGAGTCTTAGGTAGACCCTACACTGAGTGCAGAGCCCCAGCAGGGCTCGATCTCATGACTGAGATCAGACCGGAGTGGAAACCAAGAGTCAGATGCTTAACTAACTGCACCACCCAGGTGTCCCTTATGTATGTATACTTTTTAGACATAATACTGTTGCACACTTAATAGACTACAGTATAGTGAAAACCTAACTTTTAAATGCACTGGGAAAGCAAAAAATTCATTAGACTTGCTTTATTGCAATATTCTGGAACAGAATCACCAATATCTTCTAAGTATGCCTATAATGCACTTTGGGTAAAGTTCAGAAAGTCACAGAGTAATACCACTTCATATTGCTAGGAGCCTACAGTGTGTATTTTCAGAATCACACCTATCAAATGACATTTCAGCATACAACCTTTAGAAGGCAATCAATACATATTTGCTCAGTGAGACCAAAAGGAATAAATTATGTATATCACTATTTCTCAAAGGGAGAATATCAGCATTTTGAATGAGACAATTGGTTGCTACACAAAACTATCTGTGAAGTATTGCACATTTAACAAACCTGGCTTCCAGAGCACTAAATACCAACTATACCCCCCTATTGGTATGTTTTCCACTTCCTGACAATTCTAAATGCCTAAGGGGAAGAGGGCATTCACTGAGAATCACTGTGATGTATAAATTAATGATATGCAAATGAAAAGGAATATAAAATATAAAACCCTTACTCTAAAGGAAATCACAATTTAGGCAAGTCAAATCATGCCATTTAAAAAAAATATTTTCTAAAGTGTATGCCTCATTTTAGATTGAGATTCAGAACAACTACTTTTAGATCTGTATGCCAATAAGAAAGTTAGGATATAAAGAAGTTTTTTTTCAGAATGGAAAAAGTTAACACTTTTTAACATACAGGTAGCACATAATTCTCAAAACGGCCTGGGATAGGTCCAGACCAGGAGCAAGAAGTGGATAAAAAAGTTCCCTTCACTGGAACAAAATGCAGGAAGACATTATGTAAAGGAAAAAAATAGCAAACTTCAGGGAATGGTTACTTTGTCAGGCAATATTCTGAGCTCTCTGAATGTATCATCTAATCCTCACAGCAATTCTATAAGGTAGCTACAGATATTATTCACACCTTGCAAATGAGAAAATGCTTCTGAGTTAGTTCATACAACCTGACTAGAGCATGGAGATACAAGTAGCTGAGCTAGGGCTTAGCCATGCCTGAAGTTAATTTATGTAATGCTGGTCCTAAAAAGCTACCAAAGTGTGTCATCTCTGCCATGTCTTTTATAAAGGCCATCATCTAATAGGTCATTCCACTTCAGACTGTTCAAGAAGATTTCCAACTCCAGGTTTTTTGCTGGTAAAATGTTTAACCAATTTTATGACTGCTTTGTTTATAAACTGTTCATTTAAGAAGATACTAGATTCTAATATTTGATTGGCACGGTTAGTGATTATGGCCACTATGTGCTGAGTTCTTCGGCAAATACCTTAAACTTCCTTGCAAAACCCAACCTTAAATGTGCTTAATCATCCACCTTCTATGTGCTTGATCCTGGATAGCTAAACTCTTCTAGTAAATCTAATATACAAAAAAGCAGAAGGTACTACTATAAACCCATGATCATAACCTCAGCTGAGTCCTCAATACTGCTAGCAGCCTTACTGTATTTTCCAAGTTGGTTCAGTCTCAGTTTGCAGGGGTATTTCAAAACTTCCTCTCCTTGGGCACCTCCATGACCCTTTGACTCACCTGTTTTTCAAACACTGAGTTTCCCTATATTATGTAAGGGAAATGGAAGCCTTCATAAAAGAGCTTTTGCAATTTTCTACCAACAGAGCTAAGTATCTGACTGAACCCATACCCTTCCTTTCCTCTTTTCTTCCTGTTACAATAGAGGAAACATCTCTGCTGTATGGGTGGGAAGGCCTGTCTTACCTGGGCTTTGGCACCCACATCCTAACACTTTTTCAAATATCATATGCAGTTGATTACCTTCTTCATATCTACAATCCTTCCCTCTTAACTAAATCCTTTCTCTGGGTATTAAAATATGCTTCCAGCATTCTCATCCTAATAATAATAACAAAAACTTAGTAATCTCCAAATATGCCATTTGACCCCAAATTCTGCCCCTGCCCTGCATCCTCTTCCTACCCCCTAGTAATCATCTTTCTCTTAACTATCATTCACAGCCAAACTCGGGGAAGAGTTGCCTGCTATTAGTATCTTTCCTTCCCCCCATTTCCATTTACTCCTCTCCCCACTCTGGTCTGGCACCACTCCACTCTAATCCATTAATGGCTCCCAAGAAATAACCTATCACTATGCCCACTGGGCTCTCTTGACCTTCATTTTGGTTTCCCTCTAAGCGTCTCTGGCTCCACTCCTGCCTACTTGAAACCATCTTTCCTCTTGGCTTCTATGACACTACTTGCTTGATTTGTTTATTTTCTTTCTAGCCATTCATTCTCTGTTATCTTTGTAGGTTCTTCCCCTCCTACTCCACTTTTTAAATCCTGCATTTTTCTCAGGACTCTGTCCTATGATCTCTTCTTGTCTTACTCTCTACCTTTTCTCTTCAACAGTGTCACCCACTTTCATGGATCCTAATACTATCTCTATGACAATTACTCCATATTAATATTTAGGTTGATGCCACTTAATACTAAACTATGACAACAAGCTTACCTGCATATGTGCAACTTTTTTCCCAAAAACATTTCTCTCTTTAACGTAATTCCTGGTTTCTTCAAACATGAATTCACTGCCTGAAATTCCCAACTCAGCAATCAGTAGCCTTTCCTATAACCCAGAATTAGGTGTTAAGCATCATTCTAATTCCACAAGTGATTTTTACATGACTTTAATGATAACAAATCTCATAAATAATCTTTATGAAACTCCTAAAAATTAATTTATTTCTTAATTCTATAAGAAAATGCTCCTATAGAGATTTCTAAGAATATTTTGACATATCCATAACAATTCTCTAAAACACATCCTTTATTTTTATAAATGATTGTCTTTACTACATATAGACATATACATAATTTATTCAATCCTTTCTTCTCATCATTCATCTATGAGAAAAGAAATACAAAATTGTTTATTTCTATTTACTGATTTCTGCACAATACATATCCCAATAGGCCTGTGGAAATCAACACTTGAAAAGGTAAATTCTATTAGTGCAAAAGAACCCACAGTCAGTTTAAATTCATCTTGCTGGTGATCTCTGTATTCTATTTCTGTGGCAGTGTTCCCAGCCTTGTCCCCAATTTCATGTTTAACCCAGGCTGTGGCAGTCACTGGGCAAATGCACCTATCCTCATATGCTGGCATGTGAGGCTCAATGATTGTTCAGCTAGCACACTCCAAAAACAGAGATGTGAAGGCTGACCTCATGGTCTATGAACTCAACAACTTTCCCTTTTGATTCTCAGGTATAAAAAAGTCCTGCCAAATATTTTGGCTGACAGTTACTTATAAGGAGCTAAGAATTCTTGACTTGTAGTTAAGAAGCTAAAATCATCCTAAAAAGGTATTACAACCCTGACTCCCTAATTTCCCTACTCACTTATAAGCTTTGATTGGATATCCCTGAGTTTAGTTATTTACTTATCTAGTCTACAAACTCAGGTTTTGTTTTGTTTTGTTTTGTTTTACAACTTTAAGTTATACTCAAATGATTGGCTATATCAGCAGTTTTATATACATGAATTTATATAGTTCTATGTTATTTTTTTCCACTTCATTTGCTAATTAAAAGATGGAATCTTTAATAATTCTGACCTGTGGAAGCTCTTGCATGAGGTAATAGAAACCTCTATTCTCTTCTCCAAGTAGGGCACTAGCTGGCAACCGTACATCTTCAAAGAATAATTCTGAAGTATCCTAAGGGATCATACAATTAAATATAGAATTATTTCATTAAATCTCCCAAAAAAACAACAAGGCAATTATTATTTCCACTTAAGAAAACAAAAACAAGAACAAAACAAACTGGAAGCCAAGTCGGAGTGGTTAATGACTACAATGAGTAGGTGGTAAACCAGGGATTCAAACCCAGATTCATCTGGTTCCAAAAACTTGTGGCTTTCTTACTGCAATACACTGTCATTCTTTTCTTTTTTAAAGATTTTTTATTTATTAGAGACACACACACACACAAAGAGAGAGAGAGAGGCAGAGGGAGAAGCAGGCTCCATGCTGGGAGCCTGACATAGGACTTGATCCCGGGTCTCCAGGATCACACCCTGGGCTGAAGGCGGCGCTAAACCACTGAGCCACCAGAGCTGCCCATACATGGTCATTCTAACTCCAATCTTGTTCAATCTTGTCCAGTACTGTATATACCTAGAGTTAAGGGTTTCTAATGCATAAGAAGTAAAACATGTTTTTCTTTTTGGTAATGAAAAAACTACCAGATAATTATCAAGTAATAGAAAAATATTTTCTGCTCTTATTTCATAATTTTCTGCAACCAATTTCATAGAAAGTCTATTAGCATACAATTGTCATTTCTGAAGCAGAAATTCAAAATACCCTAAAATACCTACTTCTGTTACTGAATGGAAAGAGATAAAGCTAGATAAATGGAACAAATACCTCGTACCATTTCTGAAAAGCATATTTTAGGAATCTGATATAAGAAAGTATGACTTGATATACACATATCAAACCTATAGAACTGCATAATTCTATAAGGCATAATTTAGTAAACTCAATTATTTATAATTAATAATTTATATTGTGACTTACCTGGGCTTTTAGTCCCATTTTTTGTAGCTTTTTTCCCTTGAAAAATCGTTTCATTCCATTTTCCACCAGAAAAAGGCTAATGCCATGGGCAACAGAGCGAGCTTCACGATTTGTGACTGCCACTACAATCACAACGTCACTTAGCCACCCATTGGTTATGAATACCTGTAAACCCCAAATATACTGTGATACTCCACAATAAATCAGGTCTATGCATAAGTCATGATTGGAGGAAAGTAAACTCAAGAAGACTAAACCAGACAAGACATGCTTTATGCTTCTCTTTGTATTCTACTCAAGTCTCTGCAGTGTTAATAGCCTACATGAAGTTGTTAAAGAGTACAGGAAAAATAACACAATGCTTCAAAGAATGAACCCAGTACCTTTTCATTCCACAATTAATACTATAAATGATAATGAACAAAGCTTATTATGTCCTTTCCAAATTAAAACAAAATTATCTACAAAAACGATAAACTGTATTTTAGAAAGAAGTTGAAGAAAAAGGAATCTGTTCTAAATGGCACTATACTATTAAAAAATAATGTTCTAAAATCCACATGCTGTACATACAAATAATGGGAATAAACCAATTATACTAGTGTTGTCTACATGACAACATGTGAAGGGGGACATGGTTATAAGTGAGACAACCAAAGACCCTCAATATCTCTCCATACAAGGAGCTGCTGCTCCTACTCATATACCTACCGTCAGTGCCTAGAATAGGGTTTGTCATATAGAAGGCCTTCAAGGATGTTTGTTGAATAAATGAGAAAAATGTATTCCTGAAAGAAAAATTCTACACATCATGGCAAACATAGTTTTTCTGTAATGTTGCTCCATTACGCCACTTACTCAAAAACCTTCCAGGTCTCCCAGTTTTATAGTTTTCTAAGATAATAATGACCATCTGTGTAGGTGCCACAGCTGACTTGCCAAAATAGTGCTGTTTCGTTTGTTTTGAAGCATGTGTCCAGGGGTTAGTGCCTATATGCTCTAAATCCTTGGCCTCAGACATATGTAAACATATGTCTTTTATTATTACAGATAAAAGACAAGGGAAGGAGGGAACTGTTTAGAGAGCGAAAACTGTTCACTTTAATACTGACTTCAATTTGGTTAAATCGAATGGAGTTCTCCAATGGATTTTCTTGGACATAATTACAGGAAAAGGTTAAAAGAATCTGAACTATTTCTGCAATAGTCTGACAGAAGGTGAGTATTTGCAGCATGACCGATCTCATTTTTTTAAATAAAATTATAACAGAATTTCCTTTGTAAGGGCTTTATCAATTTCTTTTCTAATCAACAGTCAAAAAATTTTAATAGGGTTGGGATTATCCCAACTGAGGGCCATCATTTTTTTTTATTTTTTGGTATTGAATGCTCTTAACATAAGCTCATTGTACATGTTACATAGATGGTATATTGTGATAAAGAAAAAGGAAAAAAAACCTCCATGAGTCATTCATATAGAGAGCATTACGAATTTCCTTTCTGGTCTTTTTTCTCTTAACACAGTTGAAATCTATATGCATTTTCATTTAAATGTTAATATGATCTCTTCAGTTAAAATAATTATTTTCTATACCACTAAAAACTTTATATTGATGCCTTGAGGGGTGCACATTAGGTCTTCTTATTGAGGTCCAATATTTACTTACTTATTTCTTTACTTTTGCTTCCTTTCAATTTTTTGTTATGTCTAATAGAGATTTGGAAGCAGTCAGTGGTACTTTCCTGGGTGTTTCACACAGAAGACCTGCTTAGGAAGCTGCAGTCATAGGAGAATGGGTTCTCATTTCACTTTTCACCAAATGGCCTAGTCTAAGGCCCTCTGTGGGCAGAGGTAAAGAAAGTGATTATATACTGGACTCAGTACATATTTATTATCATCCTTAGGATGAATAATTTAGACTAAAATTTCTTAAAGTATGTTTGGAAAAACACCAGTGACTCAAGAAAATCTATGAAGAGAACTTCCTAGAGCATAAGACATACTGTATCCAACTTTTAGAACTTCACAATGTATATCGGCATATCAAAGAGAAGTTGCACACATTTTCCAAATTTATTTGACACCACAGATACTGTTTTTCTGTATAACAACTAAGAAACTAGATTGTGAAACGGTCTTTAGAATTGGGCTGCACAAAATGTGTTCTTCAGATCAGTGTCAGCCCACAAAATGCTAAAACATTTGCCCTATAGGTGAGGGGAACATGCAAAATGCAACATAGTAGAGACACAGATCTCATGTAATACAAATGTTGCAAAATTCTTACAAAACAAAACAAGTAAGTAAACTCAATTCTTCCCATGAGTCTATAGATCTGAGGGAATCAATAATAAGTAGGCTCTGAGACACTGTTACTCATGGCATGACTCAAGAGACAAGGGTTGTGGAAGCCCTTCTTCACACACCTTGCTTCCATTGAGAATCCAGTCACTTCCATCCTTTTTGGCGTTTGTTTTTATTCCTTGCAAATCACTGTAATTGAAGAAAAGTAAAGAATAATGAAAAGAAATTCATTGGTTGGTTAAAAACTGTATTATCAAAAAGTTCTTACATAAGTATGTCCATAATGTGATAATCCAAACTATTTATACCGTGATAAGTACTTTCAGTACTAGAAATGTTTACACAAATGCACTGAAAAATCATGTCTGATGTATCACATTCTCTAAACCACTTAAACAAATGTATATGATTAAGATTACATAAACTAGACAGCTTTTATAGAGCATAAAAATTCCAAGTAGCATCCAAGACCTCCAAATTAGGCTCAGATGACCTCTCAAAGTCCACTATATTTGAGATTATTTGTCACCTTGTATATGACTGCTTCCATTCACTTTGGTTCCCTCCTCTATCTCTATTGATCGAAATTTAGCCATTTAAAATCTCACTCCAAGATCAAGTCACAAGCTCTTCTGACTAAGCCAGACAGGCACCCCATGCTAGAAAAATAGTCAAATCTGTTAGTCAAATGGCCAGATTGGAAAGTATTACCCATACTCAGCTTCAGAGGCTATTTGTTTATTTATTTACATTTTATGTATTATTATCATTATTATTACTATTCTTATTATTATTATTATTATTACTATTATTATTACTATTCTTAAGATTTTATTTTTTTAAAGTAATCTCTATACTCAATCAAAGGCTCGAACCCACCACCCCAGGATCAAGAGTGGTGCATTCCACGGACATAGGCAGCCAGATATCCCATGGGATGCTGTGCTTTATCCTGAGAACTTACTCATCTTCTAGCTACAAGTTTATACCCTTGTTCAACATCTCTGAAATTGTCAGTTAATCTATAATGGTGAGATAAAAGTTATTACATTTAGATTACAATTACGTGTTTTAATATTTATTATTCAGAGGAAGGGAACTATGAGCGATGACGAAATATCATTAATAAACAATCTTCTTAATGTCCAAAAAAAAAAAAAGGCTACATCTCAAATGCTTCCTCTAACAACCCTGCTGTAAAAGTGGAATAGCTTATTTTTCTAAATATAAAATATTCACAATTGAAATAGGAAAAATATAGACAATATTCCACACAAGGAAAAAAATATTGAAAACAATTTTACCTCCTGAAATAAACATGTCTAAAATACATCCTTCTAGCATTTTTTCAATGGAAACAGATACACACATATATGTATTTTTATAAAACTGGAACCATACATATGATTTTGACCTCTAAACAATATCTAATGCTTTCCTATAAGGTTGCTTTTATCATCAGCATAGATTTATTATGATTTTTTAAAACCATCTCTTTTTTCAAAAATTTTATTTATTTATTCATGAGAGACACAGAGAGAGAGAGAGAGAGAGAGAAAGAGAGAGAGGCGCAGAGACACAGGCAGAGGGAGAAGCAGGCTCCATGCGGGGAGCCCAATGCAGGACTGGATCCCGGGTCTCCAGGATCAGGCCCTGGGCTGAAGGCGGCACTAAACCACTGAGCCACCCGGCTGCCCTTAAAACCATCTCTTGTTAAACACTTAGGCAGTTTCCTATTTTTGTAAATATCCTACAACAAGTACCATCATGTATAAAGAGTCTGTGTCATTTACTGTTGTGAAATTTTTCTGATTCTCCCTCTTTCATATGGTCTTTATATTCTATATCTCATGGCACTTTGTTTACTGCTCTTTGTATCATGCTGATTAATGACCCCTGAAGATAATAGATCCTAATCCTTAGAACCTGTTAAGTGTTACTTTATGCAGAAAAAAGGGTCTTGCAGATGCAATTAATTTAAAATCTTGAGATTGGTAGACTATTTTGGATTAGCTGATGGGTGGACCTTAAATGCAAATGTCCTTGTGAAAGACAGGTAGATGGAGATTACCCAGACAAAAGAGTAGGGGCAATGTGACCACAGAGGCAGGTTGGAATGGTAAGACCACAAGGCAAGGAATGGTGTCAGCCACCAGGAAATGGAAGACACAAGGAATGGGTTCTGCCTTAGAATGTCTGGAGGGAGTGCAGCCCTGCTGATAAGGTGATTTGGGCTGATTAATACTGATTTTGGACTTCTGGCCTTCAGAACTATGAGAGAATAAATTTCTGTCTTTTTTAAGCCAGCAAGTTTGTGGTAACTTGTTACAGAAACCATAGGAAAATAACATACTCTCTTAGAGCATTTACCTTGAATCTCAGTTTCCTTAAGTACATACAACTAACCACAGATGAGGGCAGAAAATTTAAATAAACAAAAATCAAACAAGCCTTTGTTTGCATGTGTAATTTGGAGATAAATTAAGATCTCTGATTTATTGTTTCCTCTATGTGAGAGCTAAGATGCCGTGGCCTGGGACAGAAACACACTATCACGTAGCTAACACAACTGCAATCAGAATATTGGTCAGTCACCCAGTTGCCTTAGAAAAATGATCTTAAAAGCAAAGGAAGATTAGATTTGTATTTCTTTTCGACCACATTTTTAGGTGAAAGAAGTAAACAAAAACCTTTTATCTTTGGCAAAACTAAGTATCTGCAAGTATAGATTTATATTCAGTAATTATAGATTTATATTCAGTAAGCATAAATCTAAAAAGAGGCAAATATATGGAGGTTAAATAACATGCTACTAACAATGAATGAATCAATCAAGAAATCAAGGAAGAATCAAAAAAATACATGGAAACAAATGAAAATGAATACCCAACACTACAAATTTTTTGGAATGCAGCGAAAGTGGTTCTAAGAGGGAAGTTTATAGCAGTACATAGGATCTACCTCAAGAAGCAAGAAAAATCTCAAATAAACAACCTAACTTTACACCTAAAGGAGCTAGAAAAAGAAAAAAACCCCAAATGCACAAAAGGAAGGAAATAACAGAGCAGAGATAAATGATACAGAAACTAAAAAAACAAAATAATACAACAGGTAAATAAAACCAGGAGCTGATTCTTAGATAAAAAAAACTGATAAACCTCTAGTCAGACTCATCCAAAAGAGAGAGAGAGAGAAACCAAATAAACAAAATCACAAATGAAAAGTAGCCTGACAGAAATACCATTATAAGAGATTATGAAAAATTATATACCAATAAATTAGATAATCTAGAAGAAATGGATAAATTCCTAGAAACACATAACCTACCAAAACTGAAGCAGGAAAATATAGAAAACTGAACAGACCAATTACCAGTAATGAAATTGAATCAATAAAAACTCCCAAGAAAAAACATTTAAGACCAGTCAGCTTCACAAATTCTAACAAACATTTAAAAAAGAGTTAAAAACTATTCTACTTAAAGTATTCCAAAAAATGAAAGAGGAAGGAACACTTCCAAATTCATTCTATGAAACCAGTATTACCTCGATACCAAAACTAGATAGATTCCCCACAAAAAAAAAGAAAAAGACCTACAGGCCAATATATCTGATGGACATAGATGTAAAAATACTAGCAAAACAAATTCAACAGGGGCACCTGGGTGGCTCAGGTGGTTAAGTGTCTGCCTTTGGCTCAGGTCATGATCTCCAGGTCCTGAGATCTGGCTCCCTGTTCAGTGGGGGGATCTGTTTCTCCTTCCCCCTCTCCCCCCTGTTTGTGTTCTCGCTCTCTCTCTCAAATGAATAAATAACATCTTAAAAAAAATCCAACAATACATTAAAACAATAATTCACCCTACGATCAAATGGGATTTATTCTCAGGATGCAAGGGTGGTTCAATATTCACAAATCAAGCAATGTGATATGTCACATCAGTAAGAGGATAAAAACCATATGATCATTTCAATAGATGCAGAAAAACCACTTGAAAAATTGCATCCATTCATGATAAAAATTGTCAACAAAATAGGTCTAGAGGGATCACACCTCCACATAATAAAGGCTTTATATGAAAAACCTACAGTGAACCTTAAACTCAATGGGGGAAAACAGAGCTTTTCAAACCCTAGGTCAGGAAAAACACATGGTTGTCCACTATCACCACTTTTATTCAACATAGTACTCCAAGTCCTAGCCACAGCCATTAGACAACAAAAAGAAATAAAAGGCATCCAAATTGGCAAAGAAGTAAAACTTCTACTCTTTGCAGATGACAGGATACTATGTATCTTTCAGAAAACCTGAAAGACTCCACCAAAAATCTATTCAAACTGATAAGTGAATTTAGTAAAGTTCCAAGATACAAAATCAATGTACAGAAATCTGCTGCATTCCTATACACTAATAATGAAGCAGCAAAAAGTGAAATTAAGAAAATCCCATTTACAACTGCAGCAAGAATAATAAAGTATCTAGGAATAAACTTAACCAAAGAAGTGAAAGACCTCTCTGAAGAAAGAAATTCAAGACAACACAAAGGAAATGGAAAGATATTCCATACTCATGAGTTGAAAGAACAAACACTGTAAAAATGTCTATACCCAAAGCAATCTACAGATTTAATGCAATCCCTATCAAAACACCAATAGCAGAGCACCTGTGTGACTCAGTTGGTTAAGTGTCTGCCTTCAGCTGGGATCCTGGGATCCAGCCTGCTTCTCCTTCTCCCTCTGCCACCCACCAGCTTTTGTGCCTCTCTTTCTCTCTCTCAAATAAACAAAATCTTAAAAAAAAAATACCAAAAGCATTTTTCACAGAACTAGAACAAAATCCTAAAATTTGTACAGAATCACAAAAGACCCTGAATAGCCAAAGCAATCTTGAAAAAGAAAAACAAACCTGGAAGTATCACAATTCCAGACATCAAGTTACATTACAAAGTTATCACATCTCAGTTTACATGTAACCATTTTTTGTAAGCTTTCCCTAGTACTCATACCTAAATTCATTCCCTTTCCCACCAAACACACATGCACCATTAGTCTCTACCATAGCACCATGTATTTCTTCATAGTACTTGTCATAATTTATAATTAAGGATACATTTATGTGCTTTTTGTCATTCTCCTCAATAAGCACAAAGAACACTGTCTTTTGTTCAGCACGTGTAACTGGCACATTAAAGGCACTTCGTAAGTAACCTTCACATGACTGAATAAATAATCTTCTTCATTCCCCTTGCTCCAATTCTTGCCACCCAAGCCTTCAGAGTTCCAAACCCCTATTTCTAATAGCCTGCTGGACATTTCCCTGTGCATGTCTCATCACATCCAACATTTATTATGTTCCAAATTCAAGTCATATCCCACCATTTTACTTGCGTTATCCCATGCTAATATCTCAAAATGGCATATATTATGTTTTATTGTTATTTATATGTGATAAGGACTTATTTTCCTACTAGAGTTTGAAGTTACTCAAGATTGTAAATTATGCTTGTGTTCATCTTTTTTTTTTTTTTAAGATTTTATTTATTTATTCATGAGAGACACAGAGAGGGAAGCAGAGACATAGGCAGAGGGAGAAGCAGGCTCCCTGCGCGGAGCCCCATGTGGGACTCGATCCCGAGACTCGAGGATCATGTCCTGGGCCGAAGGCAGGCACTAAACGGCTGAGCCACCCAGGCGTCCCCCTGTGTTCATCTTTGTACCCCTCCTTGCATATTGTTCAAAGGTCTATGAAGTGAGTACTAAGAAAATAAATGCTGTTGGTTACTGCTTCCAAAAATTCAAAACCAAATGAATGTTGATTTACCTTCCAGCCCCAGGCTCTGTCATTGCTATGGCACCAATACATTTCCCACTGACCATCTGGGGGATGAAGTGCTTAATTTGTTCTTCTGAGCCATGGTTTGTAATATAGGGCATGACAATATCTGAATGAAGACTAAATCCTGGGCCTGAACAATTTGAATATGCTCTTAAAAAGAAAAAAAAGAAGATAATTTAAAGCACAACATATTTTGTTCTATTTTTTATTTCTTTGATTTTCAGTTAAACAACAATCCATTATTAAGTCTTAGCACATTGTGTCGTAATAGCCTGTCTCCCCACAAATGTAGGAAGTTCTTGAAGATTTTCTCTCTTAATTTTTATTAATCTTTTAATTCCTGTCACTAGCGCAATTAACGGTACTCTAACAGAGCTCCATGAATACTTACCTAATAAATTAAAAGATAAAATATTTTAAAGTATTAATCACCTACAATTGTCTTATTATAACATAGCAACTATTTTCATTTTGGCAAAGTACTTTTGCCATAAGGATATATTCTAATATAGTGGAATTTATACCTAACTATTTGTTTTAATTATGTGACATGAAAAAGTCCTCTTTTTATATATAGCTGTCACAACAAATATCTGAAAAAGCTGTAAAATATTCCAAATGGTTTATGTAATACAATTTACTCATTCATCCTCACTACCATTTAGATTGCTTCCATATTTGGAGGATTATGATCTAACATGACAATGATTTTTGTACATAGATCCTCTTTTTTCTATCAAATTATTATCTTATAATAAATTCCCCAAAGTGACATCCTAGATCAAAAAGCAGAAATATTTTCATTTTTTATATATGTCATTTTTAATCCCCCAAAGTATTTATTGTCCTAATATATAATGCCATTAATAGTATGAGTATCTCATTTTCATTGGAACTGTGTCAGCAATGGGTATTATGATTTTGAGTTTTCACTGATTTTTTCCAAATACTCAAAATGATACCTCCAGGTTAATTTAATTTGCATTTGATCAATAGTAAGGATGAACTTTTTTCATCTAAAAGAACCTATTTGAATTTTGTTTTGATGAACTATTGGTTCAAATCTTTTGCCAATTCACAAAGTGAAATCTTTATTTCTTCTTATACATTAAGCTTTAAGTATATTTGATAGAAATATTTTCCAATGGTTTTCTCAATAGCTTTTTTAAAAGAAGAAAAACAAACATGAAGCAACTAAAAATGACAAGATCTCTTTAATTTTCAACAGCACCTATTTTAATAACTTAAAAGGACATTTTCCTATCTTTCCACATTAAAAAAAATGTACAAGAGTTATAAGGGGTTTACTCATTCACATTTTACACTGAGTTTTCAATATTATTAAGATTAAAAAGCATAATTCATTGTCTTCTCAGAAAAGTGAGCAGCATGCTTAACAACCAAGATTCCACTTCAAATGTCTGCATACTTACTGTTCTTCCCAAATAATAGCTGCCGAATACAAGTCCCCACCAATACCACCATGATGTTCTGCAATATTGACACCAAGCAGTCCTTCTTTTCCAGCTTTTTCCCAAATCTCCCTACTCACTTCACCAGCTTTCTCCCATCTGCAAACAGTAAACATTTTAAAATCAGAAAAACTTTTTTCATATTATTTAAATGGTCATAATTTGAATTTATGAAAGATACTGCATAGGAATGTTCCCTTAATTTAAGGTAATTATTGCTGACATGGGCCATAACTTAAAAAATTTTTTTAAAAGATTTTATTTATGTATTTGAGAGAGAGAGAAAGAGAGTATGTGCGAGGGAGAAGGAGATGCTTCTGGGACTCGGGGCTCCGTCCTGGGACTCTGGGATCATGGCCTGACCCAAACAAAGGCAGACGCTTAACCAAGCACCCCTTTCTATTTACATCTAACTCTTTTATCATTTGTCCTCCTCCTTCTTCCCTTCTTTATTTCTTCAACTTGCCACTTTTCTCCTCCCTTGACTATTTATTGGACCTGCAAATTACATCCACTAATATTCATGGGTACAGTTTCTCAGCTGGTACTCTTAGGATACAACTTTAAATGTGCCATATAGTCATGGGAATTTCTCCAAACCTATCCTCTAAAGATAACTGCCACTGTATATTTCCTTAAAGTGCTAAACTTATAGGGATGAGCATACATAAAAGGAGAGCAGGCAATCTGAAGATTAAGTAGGAAAGAAGAACAGAAGCATCTTGCAGCTGAGCTGTCAAAGGAACTTCTGAAAAGATTAGATATTTGCATAAGATTGTGCAACCTCTGCTTTTCTTTAAAAATGAGAGTAGCATAAAATAAACAAATAAAAAAATAAAAATAAAAATGAGAGCAGCATAATGAGGAAAGAGATCAAGAATCTGAGAACTTTTGTTTTATTTTTTAAAGTGGTAGTTAGATATAGTTAGTAAATATATTATTGAAGATATGGATTAAAAGTAAACACAGATACCTCAAGAAATTTTAAAAGAAAGAGTTTGATTATCATGTATATTTTGATGTAATTATTGCCTAAAGTAGCTTTGGAAGTATTTTTTATCATTAACCTAAAATTTGTCAACTTTTATTATTTTTACTTCTAATCTTCACTAACAATTTTTCTGGAGCAAAGTTTCAAATAAATAAAGCAATAAACAAAAAAAGATCCTCCTAGAGTGAACCTTTCTCTCTCTCCCTTTCTTTCTTAAAATTTTTATTCATTCAGGGAAAAAGAGAGAGAAAGCATGCACACGTGAGGCAGGGAGGGCCAAAGGAAGAGGGAGAGAGAATCTTAAGCAGGCTTCATCCTCAGCATGCAGCCTGACATGGGGCTTGATCCAATGACTCTGAGATCATGACCTGAGCAGAAATCAGGAGTCTGAGGCTTAACTGACTGAGCTACCCAGGCACTCTCCTTTGGTTTTTTAAGAAATAGTTGCTTTTCACTAAAAACTAGTCATGGCATTAGTTTAGCTAATTTTGGTCATTTTTACTGAAAAAGCATTAATAAAATCTTAATGAAAGGTGTTTTTTTTTTAAGATTTTATTTATTTACTCATGAGAGACAGAGAGAGAGAGAGAGAGAGAGAGAGAGAGAGAGAGAGGCAGAGACACAGGCAGAGGGAGAAGCAGGCTCCATGCAGGAAGCCTGATGTGGGACTCGATCCCAAGACTCCAGGATCACGCCCTAAGTCAGAGGCAGGAGCTTAACTGCTGAGCCACCCAAGCATCCCAATGAGAGGTATTTAAAAAAATTTTTAAAGGAGGGAGAGCAAACAAGCTGGAGGGGGGTGGGTATAAGAGAGAGAGAGGGAGAGAGAATCTTAAGCATGTTCCAAGCTCAGTGCAGAGCTCAACGGGGGCAGGGGGAGGGGCATGTGTGAGAGGGGCTTGATCCTGAGATCAAGACATGAGCAGTTATCAAGAGAGGGATGCTCAACCAAATGAGACACCTAGGTGCCCCCAAAACATTTTAAAAATATTTTAATTATAGTAAAGTATTAGCAATAAGTAAATTTTGGAAATACAGTAAAATCCTATTTTCATAGAAATGACAGTTTTTCGGGCAACAAAGTAGGTAATCAGTAATTAATCAGTCAATCAATAAATATCTCATCCAGTAGTAAAAATACTTTAAGGGGGGATCCCTGGGTGGCTCAGTGGTTTGGCGCCTGCCTTGGGCCCAGGGTGTGATCCTGGCATCCCAGGATTCAGTCCCACCCACATCAGTCTCCCTACGTGGAGCCTGCTCTGCCTGTGTCTCTGCCTTTCTCAATCTATCATGAATAAATAAATAAAATCTTAAAAAAAATACTTTAAGGTGGCCAATTGCCAACCAAGATTTGCATTATGCTGTCCTGTTGAACCTTTATGTATTTTAATTCATTCATGAAGTAGAAAAAAAATGTGTAATTAATTACTTAACTATTTGTCACTTGACCAGAATATTCAAATTACTACTCGAGTTGCAAATCTTCAAATTTTCTTATTTTTCATTGTATATTTTAAAATTTATTTAAATAGCATTGTTTCCCTATGTGTATTACTTTAAAGGAAAATGTCCTACTTACTCTGCATGGTAAGGAACAACTTCTTCTTGAAAAAACTTCCTTACACATTCCCGGAAAATGTCATGTTCTGATGAAAAGATTCTTCTAATTCCTATATCTGTTAATTTTTTAGCAGATGGAGTCTCTAGACGTTCCTTCCCTCTGGAATGAGAACATCTGAAAAATATGCATAAACATTAAGAAAATTAAGTGAGTTGTTACTCTTCATAATCCAAGTCAATGCCACTGAACAGGATGGAAGGTTAATTATACTGAACAACATGGAAAAACACTGATTTTTCCCCCCACCGACACACTACAGAGGTAGGTAGAGGGTCTGAAACCTGACCTGTTCAGATTTGAGCATTACCACTTTTGACAGGATCTGCCTCACCTGGATGAGATCAAGTAGTTTGTCCTTTTATCCAACTCACTCTTCACTTCCAAAGCCATAAAGAGGACATCATGCTTATGACTAACCACATGTCTGAGCTTAGGTAAAACAGTGTTGTCACATGATGTACATTATATTATGTAAAATTCAAATACCACCATAGAATAATATTGATGAGTTTTCATGTCACGATGATGTTTAAGATAATACTAACAATTTTTCCATAATCCAAATTAATATTTAATTTAGAATCATACAATTTGAAATGGCAGGTGTGTAAGAGAAACAATGAGGATGCTATTGACATATTAGAGGCAATGTGGGTGTAACTAAAAAAAACTGTGGATGAATCTCTATAAAGATTAGCACAGAATTGTTCAAGACCTTCAGAAACTGACCCTTCCTTCTCCTTGTCCCCCCATATTAACCTAACTTAAGATTGCTCTGTAGTTCCTTTAGTTCAGTGATTTTCAGGTTTATTTCCCTCTTGCGGCACTGCTAAAAAGATTTTGAAAATCTGTGTACCACTTTGTATATTTTCAACCTCTTATCTAAAAAACTTTATCATATATCCGAATATTGGCAAAGGTTTTTCTGTTTTGCATGAAACTCCATTTGGGGTTTCTCTCTTCCTTGGACTCTGCTTTTTTTTTTTTTTCTTTTCTCTTTCCTCTCCCCTTCCTCCTCTTCTTCGTGTTTTTGTTTAAAATATGGTTTTGTTTATTGGCAATGGGGTTGTGTCAACTTTTCTATCCCCCCCCCATGAAATGAATTATTGTGTTTTAGTTTATGTATTTTTATTTGATGCTATGAACTGAATTATGTAACTCCCAAATTCATGTTGAAGCTCTAACTCCCATTGTGATTGTATTTGGAGATAGGGCCTGGAGGATGAAATTAGTTAAATGAGGTCTTAGGGTGGGGTCCTAATGTAAGAAGATTTGTGGCCTTACAAAAGGAAGAGAGAGTTATCAATACTTTGATCTTGGATTATCCAGCCTTTAGAATTAGGAGAAATAAATTTCTGTTATTCAAGTCATCCAGTCTATGCTATTTTGTAATGAGAGCATGGACTAAGAAATGCACTTAACATGCATTTTTTGTCATTTTGTTTTTTCGGTTTATCTTTTATATGCAACTTTTAGTGGAGTTCATTAATATAATTTGAGATGCCTTTTAAATGATAATCTTTGGCTATGAACATGTAATACTACAGTTTTTATACTTCTATCTGCCTTTTGCCTTCAAAATTAATACTCAGTCATTCAAATCATTGTTTTTAATAGCTTATTCATTCATTTGGTCAACATATACTTTCTGAGTGCCCATTATGTACCAGGCACTGTTCAGGTATCTTGAGCTATAGGAGTGCAAAAGTAAGATCCCTATCTTCAAGCTCACATTTCTAGAAGGGGGTACTGAATAATGATAAATAATACAGTAAAGAAGCAAATTATAGAATAAAGGAGAAAGTGATAAATTCTATGGAAAAGAAAAGTGGAGCAAAGATCAGAATGTGTGTCTGGGTCAAGGCAGGGGCAATGGCTGCAGTACAGAATAGTGCGATCAGGGTAGGTTAAGTTAGAAAAATGAGATTTGGGAAAATACCTCAAAGTGACAGCCAAGCAGATTTTTGGAGTAGAATTGTAGGACAAGAAAATAATTAGAGCAAAGAGTGGCAGGCAGGATGACATCTGACGTGTTCTAGAAAGAGCAAGGAGGCCAAATGTGGATTGAGTAAAAACAGAAGATGAAGTCAGAGGTAACAGGACCAGGATGTGCAGGGGTCTTGCATACCACTATAATTTTACATCAAATAGACCAAAATTTACTTTATCGCTTAATTGAAATTGATGAAGTATAGGTGGAAGAAAGGCAAGCAAGGACAAGGAGGCCGCACCCTAAGAGGAAACCATAGAGGACTTTATACCGCCCTGGAAAGAGCCATCCACCCTTTCCCAAATGACAAAAACTTGTGTGGATGACAAGTGTATGGAAGGTTAATCAGACTAAAACAGCCTGCCAATAAGCTCATAAAACCCTCTAGACTTATGAATTCCCATGGCAACCCTCTAGGATCCCCTCCCTCTTTGGGAGCTTTGCACAATCACTCAATAAACTTTACTATCGCTCAACAAACTTTGCTGCCCACCACTCTCTGGCCTGGTCTACCTCTTCATTCTTTGAAGTGGGGTGACCAAGAACAGTGAACACTAAAGGAAAAGAAATCCTGTAACAATATGATTGGTTCCAATTTCCTGCTAGTAGAAATACAACTATAATGCACACATTTGTCCATTTAGGTTTTTCACACTTAGAATTTTTCCTTAGGAAAAAAAAATGTGCTGAGACTAGGAAGCTGATGCTCTGAAACTCTGAATCATTTGTCAACATAATTAGCAAATAAGAGTGGGATTTATAGTTCAGTCTTCCTGTATCTTAACATTTTATAGTCCATATCACCTTAAGGAAACCTTTGGAATATTTCTAAGTAAAATACACCAAGACACTCGAAAGTGAAAGAGGTGACAGAAAGAATAAAGATTTTTCAGGTTAGTCAAAAGTGTTCAAAAGAAACTATGCAGAAAAAAATCAAAACACTTGGCGCCAAGTATGTTGGAGCATTCATTTCTTGAAAACCAAGAAAATTTTAATCAATAAATTGGCCATTTTTCTCCCTATAAAAACCAGGAAATCTAAACTGAACAAAAATCAACTTCTATTAATTTAATAGGCTAGGCTCTATTATTTAAAATACATCCACCAGCATCTTCAACAATACTAGGGAATTGGTTACAAATACACCATCTCAAACCTCACCCCAGATCTGAATCAGAATCTGTATTTTAACAAATTCCCTGAATGATTAATATGCACATTAAGAAGCCTGCTATAATAAGACTTTAGGCCCTGACCTATTCAGAGGGTCCCTCAGTTCCTCCTTTTTCCAAAATTCTCTTAGATTTTTTTCTATACTTCCAACCAAAATAACTTATCCCAATAGATGTAATGCAGAAACAGATATGAAAATTGAGATGTATTCTGCTAAGCCAGACATTAAAGGATCTGTAAAAATGTAAAAGATGTCTCTTTTTTGAAAAATCTACTTTTCATAGAAATGTCATTTATGTTGACACGGTAATGGGTTTGCTACTGTTACTTTTACTTATTATTCAGCTATACTTGCCATATAACATTTGTTTCAGATGTACATGGTTCAATATTTGTATATATTATGAAATAATCAACACGAGTCTAGTTAACATCCATCACCACACATAATTTTTTTGTTTTGACAATCCTTAAGGTCTGCTCTTTTAGCAAATTTGAAATATATGTACAGTATCAACTAAAGTCACCATGCTGGGGGAGCCCTGGTGGCTCAGCTGTTTAGCGCTGCCTTCAGCCTGGGCGTGATCCTGGAGACCCAGGATCGAATCCCATGTCGGGCTCCCTGCATGGAGCCTGCTTCTCCCTCTGCCTGTGTCTCTGCCTCTCTCTCCGCCCCCACTCTGTGTTTCTCATGAATAAATAAATAAAATCTTTAAAAAAAAAAAAGTCACCATGCTGTATATTACACTCCCATGACTTACTTTAGAGCTGGAAGTTTGTACCTTTTGACTTTCTCCACCCATTCCTACACCCACGCCCCAACCAGAAATCTGTTCTCTGTATCTATGCGTTTGTTTTTAAGGTTCCATCTATAAATGAGATCATACATGTCTTACTTCTCTTACCATAATCTCTGTTGCTACTTTTAATGAACTAAATATTCGTAAAATTTGTTTTGTGGCTATCTCTTGATAGCCATATGCATACAACCCTCATCAATCAATCAAAAAATTAAAAAAAAAAAACATTTTCTGGGGGGTCCTCTAACTTAAAGGGAATAATAAAAGAGCCCTGATAAAAATTTGAGGATCACAGTGCTAGAAAGTTCTGGGGGAAGAGCTCAGAAAAGTATGTGCACCCACCCTAAAGTCAAGGTGCACCCACTCCTCAGTCAAGTCTTCCCCACTGTCCTCAGGAGGAACAGATCTTTTTCCGCTCCCATAGCATCTCAGAATTCCACCAACGTTGTCACGAGCTACATGATCATTCCGTCACTCTCCTTATACATAGTGGATAATCCTGGATGCTTCCAGCTTATCCGATGAACGGATTTCAAGCGCCAGTTATCTGAAAGCTTTAGATCTTACCAACACGACCTTCATAGTCACGGAGCCACTTAGAAACTATTTTCTCTTCCGAGTTTAACTAATTAAAAAGGATTTGTTAAATAAATCTCGAGGCCCTTGTGTGATGGGGCGGGCTGCTTTCTGGGGGGCCCTCTTGGGGGACGCCGTGAGGCAGAGGCCGCCCTCGCTCCGGATCTCGAGGCCGCGCCCCCAGGAGGCCGCGTCCCAGGGCCCAGGAGAGCGCGCCCGGGAGCGCCCCGGACGTGACCCCGCCTCCCCCGGGCCCGGCTGCGGCCCGACCCCGAGCCTTTGGCGAACCCCGCTTCGGGCTTTCCCGCTCCTGCGGGGGACCCCGCGAGGCCCCCATCCCCCCGCAGCCGGTCGGGTCCAGGCTCCGGGAGGCGCACGGCCAGGACCAGCCAGAGGGCCCGGGGCTCCGCCCAGGTGGCCGCCCCCGCGCTGCTGAGCTCCAGGCGCCAAGGGGCAGTGCCACCGCACCCGGCCACGGGGAGCAGGGTGGGGGGTCATCGCCCCCCCGCGGCCCCGCAGCCCCCCCAGCAGGGTCGGGGTGTCACCGCCCCCCGCAGCCCCCCAGGAGGGTCGGGGTGTCACCCCCCACGGCCCCGCAGTCCCCCAGGAGGGTCGGGGTGTCACCCCCCACGGCCCCGCAGCCCCCCAGCAGGGTCGGGGTGTCACCCCCCACGGCCCCGCAGTCCCCCAGGAGGGTCGGGGTGTCACCCCCCACGGCCCCGCAGCCCCCCAGCAGGGTCGGGGTGTCACCCCCCACGGCCCCGCAGCCCGCCCCAGCAGGGTCGGGGTGTCACCCCCCACGGCCCCGCAGCCCCCCAGTAGGGTCGGGGTGTCACCGCCCCCCGCTGCCCCCCAGCAGGATCGGGGGGTCACCCCCCACGGCCCCGCAGCCCCCCAGTAGGGTCGGGGTGTCACCGCCCCCCGCAGCCCGCCCCAGCAGGGTCGGGGTGTCACCCCCCACGGCCCCGCAGCCCCCCCCAGCAGGGTCGGGGCGTCACCGCCCCCCACGGCCCCGCAGCCCCCCCCCCCGGCGGTCCAGGGGAGCCCGCGGGCGCTCACCTCGCGGCGGGCGGCGAAGGCGGGGCGCACCGGCCGAGCCCCCGGCCGAGCCCCGGGCGGACCCACGGGCGGATGGCCGGGTGCAGGCGGCGGAAGGCGCTCGCAGCCATGGCGGGGCGGGCTGGGGCTCGGCGCCGAGGGGCACACGCGGCGCGCGGGCGGGCGGGAGCGCTGGGGCCTCGGCCGCGTCCCGGGCTTGGGGTTTCGCGCTGCGGCGGGCGCTCGGGGGCGGCTCTGCGCGGCGGGGACGGGCGGGGGGGCCGGGAAGCCCGCGGAGGCGGGAGCAGCCCCGGGACGTCGGCGCGCGAGCCCGGGAAGCTTCTTAAAAGCGGATCCCAAGAGTCCCGTGGAGAGTCCTCAGTGGGGCGGGCGCGCAGGGACCCAGGCGGACTTGCCCAAAGCCTGGCCTCGCTGCCTGGGGTCTCGGGGCCGCCACCACTTGGGGCCGCGCCGGGGTATTTATTAGCTTTACTGGACCAGACGCTCGGTTTTCTCGAGGTGGTAATTGGCCGGGTTACCTCCCAGTGTGGGGCAATAAGAGACCTTCTGCACAATCTTGCTGAGCCTCTGCAAAATGATAACTAAATATTACTTCAGGGTGGACTGAGCCCACCTGCAGCAGCAGTAACAGTTGATGGTGAGGCCCAGTTAACACGTCTCACAGGTGATTCCTTTTTTTTTTTTTTTTTACAGGCTTCATTAATTCAGTTTAATCTCCTTGTATAAAAACACTGTGTTGGCAACAGCTGGAGCCTGGATCCTCTTCATGGAGACTCTGCTGTGGGTCTTTCCTAGGTCAATGAACTGCTGATAGGGAAATGCAGCGAACAGGGTTTCTTTCTGGAGGCGTCTTGGTGAGATAGCTGTAGATCTCAGAGCCCGAATGACAGGTGGCCTTGGCCAAGTTGCCTGGGGTGGCAGTGCAGCCTTGGTGGAGGCGTAGCAGTTGTCTGCATCAGTTATCCTCAGAAGCATCTTGGGCCCAGATAATGCTCTTGCTTCCGGGGGCAGGGATTGGGCATACCAGCGTTGACACAGTGGCCTGTTATCTTTCAGGGAGTGTGGAACGTGCTGGTCTTGATCTCTTGGTAAGCTCACTGCCCTTTGTCTATAGAGAGGTGAGCCAGGACCATGGCCCTGCATGTGGCAGAGGCTGCCTCCTGGGAGCACATTCAGAACCAACTTGGCTATTCTGGTTCTGGAGGGTGACAGATGCCTTGAGTTCAATCCACTGGCCATGCAGGTCTCCTTTTGGATGGGACTAATCTTTAAAGAGAGATATCCAGAAAAAAAAAAAAGTTGATGATCTCAGACTCCATAATAGGCAGGGAGAAGAGATATAATTTCTCCAAGAACTTTATTCTTTTTTTTTTTTTAAGATTTTATTTATTTATTTGCGACAGAGAGAGAGAACCTGAGCAGAGGGAGAGGAAGAATGAGCAGCCGACTCCTCGCTAAGCAGGGAGCCCTATGAAAGGCTCTATCCCAGGACCCGGGGATCATGACCGGAGCTGAAGGCAGATGCTTCACCGTCTCAGCCATCCAGACACCCCAAGAACTTTATCTTCATGTCCTTGACCAGGAAGCCCAGTGAGTGATGAGGAGCCACACCTTGTCCTCAGCCTTGCCTTGGCAAGTTCTGCAGCCTCCAACCCACCTGGACTACATCTGAGAGTAGACGAAGACGGCGTTGCTGAAGCCTGTGCAAGTGACTCTCTGTAAGTGTTAGCTGTTTTTATTCTCCTCTACTTACATACTCACGTTTTCAGGTGATGGTGACTTTTAATAATGGCCTTTGATAATCAGTTTCACGAAAATTAGATTTTTTTTTCTAATTCAAACAATTGGCTCTAATAGTGAAATTTCAGATCAAGAAGATTTGAAAAAGACAAAAATTCATTTACCTACCAAGAGGACATGGCAGTGCCAGGGCAGAACCGGGAGGGAGCTATCTGAAGCAAGCAGGCCGTTGTGACACTCCTCAAAGAGTGTGCCTGCCTATGTTTCTAGTCTCAGAAGTGCCCGTGTAGATGACAAAGGTCATCTCCCAGCTTTTAGAATTATTGCCAAAATCCCTCGGAAATACAATAATGTAAGAAACCCCAAGACTCTTAAGTTTAGAGGGAGTGATTAGGGATGTATGTAGAGATGGGTTTCATTATAAATATCCATTTTGCAGAAAGACATTAGGAAAACATGTATTTCATGAAATACAACACTTAAATGACACATAAGCCATTTTCAGATGTGAAGATACTAAACACTTGTTTTGGGTACTTGCCATACCTCCTTGAATTGTAAGCTTTGATTGCCCCTTTGACATGTAATTCTGTTATTTTACAGTTAGCTCTTTTCCTCAGTGAATTTGTTTTCTTTGTTTTATTTTTTCGGAATTAAGTTTCTTTGAGCACTTTGGGTCATCTAATTTTTCATCAAAATTGTTTTAGTTTTTTATTCAGAAAAAATGTAAAACTACAGAAAAGTAGCAAATATAGTATAGTTAACTCCCAGATAGCCTTTACTTAGATTCTCCCATTGAGGACATTTTGCCCATTTGCCACATATGTGTATTTTTTGGGGGGGTCATTTGAGGATAAATTGGATACATTATGCCCCTGCACTCCTAGCGTGTATTTCCTAAGAGCAAAGGGAGTTCTCATAATAACTATAGCACAGTTATCCAATGTAGAAATTTAATCCTGATACAATATTCTGTTTATTTATATTATTATTATTATTATTTGCTAAGAATTGGGAGAGCATTCTAATTATTATTATTATTTTTTTAAAGTAAGCTCTACTCCCAATGTGAGACTTGAACTCACGATCCCAAGATAAAGTTACATGCTCTATCAACTGAGCCAGCCAGGTACCTCAAACCCTGATAGAATATTCTTAAATAATCTACAATCCATATTCTAATTTCAACAAATGTCCTAATAATATCCTTTCATTACAATTAAATCTGGTAAAAAATGGAGATCTGCCCTACAAATTGCCTGAGCAGACAAAACCAATTCCATCACAAAGCTGAATGGGAAATAAAAGCAAAAGAAAAAAATTACAACCCTTTGACGAGTGTTTGAAACAGGTAGAGTGACCTTCCTCTGAGAGTTCAGCTGCTCTGATGTTAATACTTTGTTAAGGGTGTATTCACTTCTGCAGCCCATGTTTTGTTAAAGTTGAAATGATACAGTGATTAGTGTGGCCTCTATGCAAGGATGACACACAAGTTTGTGAAGTGTTTCATTAAAAACAAAAGCAAAAAAACAAATTTGCCAAGGACAAAAGGCAGTCTTAGCTTTACATTATTCCAACCCCTCTGGATCCTGTAAGTTTTCTTTTAGCATATTAAAAATTTCTTTGGAAACTTCCTTTACCTCTGGCACCCAAGATAGCAATCATCCTTGAAGCATATGGCCCACTGATAGGGGTCTGAAGGGTCTCATGACTGAGAGTTTACTAAACAATGATAAATGACCTTTCCCTAATAATTACTGGCCTCCCAGAAATCTTGCTCCCTAAATTCCTTAGGGACTTACACTATCCCTAATTCCCTCTCAACTTGAAAGTGTAGGATCAGTCACCTCTCATAACTCCAGTGCAGGTCGTTGGTTTTCCTTCCTTCCTTCCTTCCTTCCTTCCTTCCTTCCTTCCTTCCTTCCTTCTCTTCCTTCCTTCCTTCTCTTTCTTTTTCTTTCTTTTCTTTCTTTCTTTCTTTCTTTCTTTCTTTCTTTCTTTCTTTCTTTCTTTCTTTCTTTCTTTCTTTCTTTCTTTCTTTCTTTCTTTCGCAGCTCTTTCTGCCCACAGATTCTTTTCCCATGCTTTAATAAAACTACCTTTTTACACCAAAGACAAGAATTCTTTTGGGATCCCTGGGTGGCGCAGCGGTTTGGCGCCTGCCTTTGGCTCAGGGCGCGATCCTGGAGACCCGGGATCGAATCCCATATCGGGCTCCTGGTGCATGGAGACTGCTTCTCCCTCTGCCTATGGTCTGCCTCTCTCTCTCTCTCTCTCTCTCTCTCTCTCTCTCTCTCTGACTATCATAAATAATAATAATAATAAAAAGAATTCTTTCTTAATCATCTGCTCTGAACCCTAACATTTTGCATCACAATTTAGTTTATTTTGCAATACTAACTTGACCTGGGTAATTTTTAACTATGCCTCTGGGAAATCATTGTCAAAACTTGAACTATTTCCCCAACATTGATATGAAGACCAATTCCCTCTCATTTAAGGAAATTCTAATATTATAACTAATAATTGATTACTGTGGAGGATAGTCACTGTCTTTGTTACCACACAGTAGTCTCTTAATAACCTCCTTATCTGCTGGGGATATGTTCCAAGACCTGACTCCCCCCCTACCCTCTCCACCCAATGGATGCCTGAAGCCATGGACACACCAAACCCTGTATGATGAAGTTTTGGAATTATAGCTGAGGTCCGGAACCGACAACCAAGAAAGAATTATTGAGATGTCTTTGGTGCAAAATCATGGTTTTGTTTGTTTTTAAGATTTTATTTATTTATTCATGAGAGACAGAGAGAGAGAGAGAGAGAGGCAGAGACACAGGCAGAGGGAGGAGAAGCAGGCTCCATGCAAGGAGACTGACGTGGGACTCTATCCCGGGAATTGGGATCAGGCCCTGAGCCAAAGGCAGACATTCAACTGCTGAGCCACCCAGGCGTCCCAAAATCATGGTTTTGTTAAAGCACGGGGACAGGACCCATGGGCAGGAAGAGTGGCTGTCCCGGGCCTGTGAGGGGTGGCTGATTATATACCTGGGTGTTGGGACGGGTTTGAGGATAGTGTACTCTCTAAGGAATTTTGGAGGCAAGGTTTCTAGGACCTTGAGGGGGCTAGCTATTGTTGGGAAAATGTCACTTATTACAGTCTAATAAAATCTTAATCATGAGACCCCTCAGGTGTATATCCGTGGGCCATATGCTTGGGGGATGGTTGCCAACACTTATCTTGGGGGTTTTTAGAGATAAAGGAAATTTCTAAAGGAATTTTTATATGTGATGTCAGGTTTAGTCAAAAGTACCCCCAGGGGGCCATTGAGCCTGGTGGTGAGAAGAGAGAGGCTCCCCACCAGCGTGGGGCCTTGATCTCCTTCTGGGTTTCGGCACCAAATGTCAAGTTTAATCCCATCGGTAGTGAAATGGAATAGAGGCAGGCAAAAGTTGGTTGAAACAGGCTTTCAATTGGACGGGCTCTCCGGGGAGATTCAGGGCTGGCAGGGGAGGGAGAGAGCAGGGAAATAGAGGGTGGGGGAAGTCACGTGCTGGGGAGGGCAAGCAGGCTTTTTAAGGGGGGAGGGGTAAGGGGTTGTGTCTCTGAAAGGGGTGATAGGTTTTAGGCTTGATCCTGGTGAAATCAGCCTGGGGCAATAACTGCCCATGGCCTTATATGCGGTCTGGGTAAGCACGGTTCAGGTTTCCTGCATAGGTCCAGGCTTCCCCTGATGACACGTCCTCCCCGTCTGCAGGTGATGGGAAAGTTCTGAGGTGGAGGCCACAGGTCTCCACAGGTCTGTTGCTATTTTGTTGGTGCCTCCAGATC